TATGACAAAGGCAGTGGCTGAGTCCATGGGCCAGTTCCCGTCAATTGACGCTGCTAAAGAGTTACTGGATACGGTCACCAGCTCGTATGCTAAGGCTTGCGGGCTTAATTTACAGGAACAGGCGTCCACAAGCACCGTACCTTCGGCCGACATTGTGCTGGATACCGCTACACTGGATAAGTTGACACACGAGCAGAAACGCCTTGCCATGGTGCAGCATAAGGCCCTTGCATCGTACCTGGGGATTGAAACGTGCGCCCACCAAGATCCCCTTTCCGAATCGGATAACATACACCAGTCTCGGCTCAATCTTTGGATATCGGAGTTTAACGAAGATTTTGAACGTCGGATTCAACCTCGTTTTAACCGCCGCCACCAGAGGAGGTTCAATTTCTGGTGGAACCAAGTTCGCATGGACGTTATCAAGAGCTGGATTAGTCTTCTCAGTGGCCAAGTTAAAGGTCAGCCGGAAGTTCGAGCAGATATAAATATGTGGCGCCGGATTGCGAACAGATCGAATGAAGAGACTATTGATCTGGTCAAGCGGCTCATAGACCACTCTGACAGGACTGGTGAATTTCATCCTCGACTATTTCATCTTGGTGAACGAGTAAAGAGTTTAATTGCTTCGTCAGCGTCGCATCCACCGCGAGCAAGCTTTTCGCTGCCGTTGACTAAACCACGGACTATCATAGGGGAGGATGGCTCCATTCGCTGCACCGAAGTCCCACGCGATGGCTTCTCGGACTATGTCTCTCTTCTAAAGTCAGGACGCGCTCTACAATTTGCTTCTCTGAAAACACGTGTCGCTGGTCATTGGAAAGTCAAAAGCAGGATGACAGAGGAATTCTTCCGAGTTATCTCACGGGTCTTGACATACGGAATTTCTTTCGCTGGCAAGGTTGCTCTTGTAACCGGAGCAGGCCCCGGTTCTATTGGCGCTGAGCTTGTCAAGGGACTCATTATGGGGGGAGCTGTTGTCATTGTCACCACAAGCCGCGCTATTGCCGACAGCCAAGCATACTTTCGCAAGATGTACGCAGAGTTTGGAAGCAGAGGCTCTGAATTGTATCTCTTGCCATTCAACCAAGGCAGCATGCGTGATTGTGCTGAATTGATCCAATACATCTACAGCCCATCTGGGTTAGCAAAAAATATCGACATCCTCATTCCGTTCGCTGCCATTCCGGAGAAAGGGATTGAAGTCGATGGCATAGGTGCAGAATCCGAATTTGCCCATCGTGCGATGCTAGTCAACGTTCTCCGACTAATTGGCCACATTGCTCACATGAAGAGTGCGGAAAAGATTGATTGCAACCCAACACAGGTTCTTCTACCTCTTTCTCCAAATCACGGGACCTTTGGCGGCGATGGACTCTATTCCGAGACAAAGTTGGGCTTGGAGAGTCTGCTTAACCGAATTTCTTCTGAGTCGTGGGGAAAGCAGGTGTCGTTATGTGGCGTCGTGATAGGCTGGACCCGGGGCACAGGACTCATGGAATCTAATGACACCCTGGCGGAGACCATCGAAGCCCATGGTGGGTTGACATTCTCCCAGGAGGAGATGGCGTTGAATATACTATCCCTTCTCTCCCCAGACGTAGCTAGGATGAGCGAGGACAAGCCCATTTTGGTAGATCTTGGGGGAAATCTTCAGAGGTTAAATGGGCTGGAAAGCATTCTTAAGGACGCCCGTCAGTCCCTACGTCAGCGTGCGGATATTGCCAAGGTTATCTATGAAGAAGATCGTCGTGAACGCTCGATGGCGACAACGGAGACGGAAAGTGAAGATGGACTACATAGCAAGGACCGTATGAGCCGGTGCACATTGCAAATGGAATTTCCTCGCGAGCTTGACTACCATCAGGACTTAGAACCCCTAAAGCACCTAACTGGCATGGTGGACCATTCCAGTACCGTTGTTATCGTGGGGTTTTCAGAGTTGGGCCCCTGGGGTAGCTCCCGGACTCGTTTCGAAATGGAGAGTCAACAACAGCTCTCTACTGAGGGCTATATCGAGCTTGCATGGCTGATGGGATTGATCAAACATGTTGACATTAACCCTCCCACTGGGCATTATGTAGGCTGGGTGGACGCGAAGTCGCAAGAGCGCTTATCTGATGGGCAGGTTGCCCAGAGATTTGGGGATCATATTCAACAGCATTGTGGAATTCGAATCATTGAACCGGAGATGGCAGGAGGATACGATCCTCACGGTAAGGAGTCCTTACAAGAAATTGCAGTGGAGGAAGACCTACCCGAGTTCGACGCAACTCTGGCTACCGCTACAGCGTTCAAACAGAAGCATGGCGACTATGCTGTGATCCGACAACTGGAAGAGCCGGACTCCTTCCGTGTTCAGATCAAGGCTGGTGCGCGGATCATGATTCCAAAGAAATCCCCTGTACCCGCGAATTATGTTGCTGGTCAACTTCCGAGTGGATGGACGCCAGCCCGATACGGTATACCAGAAGACATTGTGAATCAAGTGGATCCAGTGACATTGTTTGCGCTATGTTGCGTGTCAGATGCGTTTCTCAGCGCAGGAATAAAGAATCCCATGGAGATATTTCACCATATCCATGTATCTGAAGTGGGCAACTTCATTGGGTCCTCGCTAGGTGGAACAGAAAAGAACCGCGAGATGTTTAGGGATGTGTACCTGGACAAGACAGTGCCCGGGGATGTGCTCCAGGAGACCAACCTCAATACTCCCGCAGCGTGGGTCAACATGCTTTTGCTCGGAAGCAGTGGCCCTATTAAAACCCCGGTTGGGGCCTGTGCTACCAGCCTCGAATCACTGGACATTGGGGTAGATTCTCTTCTCGCTGGAAAGACCAAGATGTGTCTTGTTGGTGGTGTGGATAACTTCCATGAGGACGAGGCCCACGCTTTTACGATGATGAAGGCCACAGTCGACACCGAAGACCAGTTTGCACAAGGTCGCACTCCTGCAGAGATGTCTCGACCCACCGCTGAATCACGGGGGGGATTTGTTGAAGCTCTTGGTGGAGGTGTCCAAATTCTATGCACAGCGGAGCTGGCCATTTCTATGGGGCTGCCCATCTACGCTGTCGTCTCAGGCTCCGCTATGGCAGCAGACAAAATCAGTCGCTCCGTTCCAGCTCCCGGTCAAGGCGTTCTTACATTCGCGCGAGAGGCCCCAGAAGCTCTTCAATCCCCGCTTCTAAATCTAGAATACCGCCGCGAGAAGTTGAATGCATCCATTTCTCAACTTCTCTCTGGTTCTAATGACAAGAAAATAGGCCATGACAGCGACGATGAGACAGAGTTGCTTTCACCCACTCTAACCCCTGGATTTGTTTCTCCTTCTGGTTCATCAGGAAATTCAGTACCAGACTCGGATAGTCTAGAGTCATACCAGAACAGTATCGATGGCTTCGATCTTGCAAAAGAGTCTACTCTTCCGGCACAGATCAATGCGCTCCGCCGCCAGTGGGGGAATCAGTTTCGACAATTTTGCCCTACAATCTCACCCATGCGAGCGTCGTTGGCCACCTGGGGACTCGGTATTGATGATATTGGAATTGTATCGTTGCATGGAACTTCTACGAAAGCTAATGATGTTAACGAACTCGATGCATTAAACAAGCAAATGGACCATCTCGGTCGTAAAGGTCCGCCCCTTTTAGCTATGTGTCAGAAATCTGTCACAGGGCATCCAAAAGCCCCCGCTGCAGCGTGGATGCTGAACGGATGCCTGCAAGCTATGAATACAGGCACAGTCCCTGGAAATTTCAATTGCGATAATATCGATCCTGCTCTCCGGGACTTCCCGCACATCTTGGTCACGACAGAGACGATTCATGTCCCTGAGATCAATGCCTTTTTGCTGGATTCATTTGGCTTCGGGCAAAAAGGGGCCCAGATGGTCGGAGTGGCACCAAAATATCTCCTCGGGACACTTGAGAAAGATGTGTATCAAGTGTATGCAGAAAAGTGCGCCACCAGGAAGCGACAAGCGAATCAAGCGTTTGCACATGCTGTCATGTCTGATTCTCTAGTCAAGGCTCAAACTCAGCCGCCGTATGAGAAACGGGATGAGTCCAGAGTACTTCTAGATCCGTTGGCTCGCGTATCCACTAATCCCACGTCCAAGAAGATCTATTTCGATCCCGCCAATCTCCATGGTACCCAGCCTGTCATGGTCAGGCCGGAGCAACCCCCGCAGGATCATATTACTCTACCAGAGCCGTCACCGATAAACGATGTACCTGCCGCCAAAATCTCCATTTCTGATATCACTGGTGATGTCCTGCGCTCCCTTCCACAAGATGTGAAAATCCGCTCAATTGGTGTCGACATTGAGGCCGTAAGCACCTTTGACTACGACTCTAACCCGTTATTTATACAACGAAACTTCACTCCCGCCGAACAGGCGTTCGCCCAGGCATGTCGGGACCCGCATATGGCATTGATCGGGCGCTGGTGCGCAAAGGAAGCCGTTTTCAAGAGCCTTGGGGTCAAGTCCAAAGGGGCAGGGGCACCGATGAAAGAAATTGAGGTAAAAAGTGATAGGAATGGGGCACCTAAAGTGGTTGTAAGTTTATCTTCTTTCTATTTGTATCCTTGATTTCACTTTTAGAGCCCCTTAATAACATGTGGATCTGTTTACCTTAGTTACATGGTGCAGCCCTACGTACCGCCAGACAGGCGAACATAAGCAATGTGATTGTTAGTCTCTCATACAGCGAAGGGAACGTTATTGCAGTGGCAGTGTCTTTGAACACACCCGAGTCACTCTGACTTTGCAATCTATACTTGAATTCTTGGATATTATGTGTTACTAGATAGTCATAATAGAACTTACATTTGCCTTCACATTTCCATTATTCGTTTGACGTGACACATGGACATATATAATTTATCAAGAATCCACCATTGAGTTCAGGTAACGAATAAATATACTTCAAGATGCCGGGGTTCAGGACTCAAAAGCACTTCGAATGCTTGAACATGTAAGAATTCCTGTATATACAACCAACTTCTCGGATATCAAGAACTATGCACACATAACTCAGGTCCATGAATCCATATTAACTCCTCTGAACTCCAGACACCAAATAGAGTATGCTGCTTGTCTCAAATCCTAAACAGCACAAGTGGGGGAAGTTTGCCAGCAAAGCCCGAACGAAAGAAACGAAAACAAGAAAACGAAAAGGGGAAAAGAAAAAGACAGACCAACACATAATGAAAATCTATTCTCATAAACATTAAACCCGCTTGAACAATACATGCCGAACCAATTCATAACTTAACCTTCAACCGTCCCTAAATCGAACACACATCCAACACACACCCCTTAGTTATGCTGCCCCGGGACCTGCAGTCTTCTTCCCCTTGACACTACGCCACTCAATGCCCACGGCCCCCAAGATACTCAGACAGCTCAAAATCAACCCGACCTGGAAGGTTCTCAGGATCGCATCGTTGTACACCACAAGAACTTGAGGGAGATAGTCTGGGTCGACTACACGGCGAAGGCCAGTCGCTCCGGCGTGTACGATCGCCTCTGGATTCAGTCCAGGCAGATTCAGCTTCACAATACCTTCAACCAAGCGGTTGGTGAACAGATTCTGAGCGACGGAGACAAACACGGATCCGCCCAGAATTTGAAGGAAGAGCACCATTGCTGTGCCGATCGAGACATCGTTCAGGTTTAGGACGGCCTGGGCCGCGACACCACCTTGTTGGAATCCGAGCCCGACTCCGAAGCCGTACAGAAATTGATATCCGACCCATTCCTTCTGCGGGGTGTCGACTGTGAAGAGTGTCAGAAGGCCTGCACCCACGCTCATAAGTACGCTGCTGCCGATAAAGAACGGAGCAAAATAGCCAAGATGAGTGACCAGAGCTCCTGACACCACGATGGCCACGATCTCAGCTAGGATGAGTGGTAACGAATAGACGCCAGCAGTCACGGCACTGGTATTTCGGATGGCTTGGAACTGTTTTATCCCCAGTCACGTTAGTTTAATTTATTTGGGCTCGAGCGAAGCAATCCGGGGGGGGATAACATACCCAAATTGGAATGAAATAGATATAGATGAAGAACGACCCGCCAATGCAGAGCCCGAATAAGGATGCAGATGCGATTGATCGTTGTCTGGCAATGCGAGCTGGGACAGTGGCATTTTCCTTCAGGTATACCTGCAAGATACAGAAACCAATAAGGGTGAGCCCGAAGATGATAAACAGTGCAATAATCCGACCATTCGACCAGGGGTAATTGACACCTCCCCATTGCAAGGCGAGCAACAGACAGACAATGGCGGGAACGAAAACGACGCTCCCAATTGGATCAAGGCGCCAGAAGAGGTTTCGAAGCGACTCCTTCTTCTTCTCTTTTAGTTTCAGAAGGAACACAAGCCCGACAGCGGTGACAGCTCCGAGAGGGAGATTGATATAGAAGCACCATCGCCAGGTGAGATGGTCGGTGAACGCGCCGCCCATCAGTGGCCCCGCCACCGACGCTACGCCATAAACACCCCCAATCAATCCGAAGAACATCGGTCGCTTGTCCAGTGACACCGTATGCGCAATCGTGACCAGCGCGCCCGTGAATAAACCAGCGCTGCCAAGACCTGCAATCGCTCGACCGATAATCAGAGCTGTGGACGTGGGTGCGACTCCGCAGACCAAGGAGCCCAGCTCGAAGATGAAAAGAGCGATCAGGAAGACCCATTTGATGCTAAAATATGTGTACAGCTTGCCAAATAAAAGTTGGAAGGCTGTTGACCGATTCACATTAGCACCCAGCCCATGTATCAAGCAAACCAGGTGGTGATCGCTTCTTCCCACTTACAGCAACCTGTCAGCAAGTACGCAGACGCATACCAGCCCACGTCATTGAGATTGTGAAACTCGTCTGTGATTTTGGGAATGGCCACGGAAATGATCTAGAGAAGAATAAGTTAGCGGAAATCGGGTGAAATGAACTCAAAACCACCCATGGGAAAGGGCCTGAGAGACGGAGGTATAGGAAATGAAACCGGGAGCTCACAGTGTTATCCAAGGCCATGCAGAACACGCCCAGCATGAGACTAACGACGATCCCGATCAGCCGTAGGCCGATGGGCAGGTAGTCGACTCCATCGCCCTTCTCGTCAATGGATGACTTTTCGTTCTCACTGCTGAGCGGAGAGCCATCCAAAGAACTCAGCACGGACGTGCTGTTGTTGTCAGCTTCTCTGCCATCTTGCGGTGATAAAGACATTTTTGGATATTTTTTTGTCTCTAGATGGAAGCGTGTAAGAGGAAAGGATTCAAGAGATCACGCGCAGACTGGCACGATGAAGCAAGCACGTAGCGACGAGCACACCGGCTCGCCGGCCATGTTTTATCTCATTTCATTTTTTCTGCAAGCAACGGACTACGGGTAGATCATCCAACCCATGCTGCCAACACCGGACTAACAAATCTGAATGAGAAGCTTGATCTGGAGATTCGCTCTTCACGACGGTGGTTGACGGACTTGAGTCTCGCCGACTCGATGCGCTGCAGGGATCTTCGGAGTCCAAAAGGCCAATCAAATCAGGGGGTCGATCCGGCATCCCTGCAAGTGCTGCGGACAGACTGCGGCCGAACGAAGGACCAATTCCGAACCCGCACCAACTCGCTCCCAACGGCTGCATGGCAATTTATCTCGATCGGATGAGATCATCGTCCCGCACGGGCTCCTTCTATTAATACCAACATTGAAGGATCCCGAATCTCTCATCCGTCTGCCGACACTCAGCATTCGGGGAAATCGGTTTGCCCATATCGGCCTTACTCCATCCGGGGCGGTCATCAGTTGCTGAACAGGCACTTTGCAAGTAGTTACGTAGTTATTTTTTTGAGTCTGCGAACGATCAGACAGATGAACTGTATCACTAGAAAGCCCATGCTTTTGTCTTCATATATTGGTATCTACAACTCTTAACTATCATGCATATACATCAAAGCTCAAGGCACATATTCACAGCGAATTCCCCCAATGCGCCTGTCGCATAGGGAAGAAGACAACAATAACTCAATACAACCAACAAATGCAAAGGCTGAACGCCCGCTCCATGAATATCCCATAACCCATCATTTCATAGAGATCGTAACACAGCAATGATATCATCCCTTAGAACTCGGAAGCGACGGTGGAGGTCTTCCTCCAGCTGGACAAAAACGGATGCGGAGACATGATGCCCACCCATCCCTGAGAATTCGGTAGACGACGCCTCAGACCCAGCTAGCTTGGGTGAAGGACTTGTTTCGGCAATTTTTTCCTTTTTGAAGCATCCGGACAGGCGGTTAACGAGCCGCACAACCCGGTACAGCTCACCCAGCACCAGGCGGGCACGCTCATGTATTCCACGATTCACTGGCGAAGAGAGCCCAGTGCCCGTAGACGCTGACGCAGAAGGCTGTCCGTCCAGCGCAGCCACCGCGTATCGAGACATGACTTTAAACGCCAGGACAACAGCTAATAGTTGGAGCTGTTCATTGCTGGCGAAACACGAGCAGTCCAGAACTTCCATGATTTGCTCTAAGACCTCTCTGTTGGTGCGGATAATTGTTTCTATGTCGAGATCGGAGGCGGCTTTGTCAAGATTGGCAAGACAGGACTGGATAGCGGGCATGCATTGAGAGCTATGGCTTCCCGCTCCAGGACACTTATGAGGATCGTGTCCCGGATTTGTGGTCGATTGCAACACTGAGGGCGAGTCTGGAGCGGTTCTGATCCCCATCCACGGATGCTGGATGTCTCCTGTCGCTGCGCGATTCAACACTGGGGGCATTGAAATTGCTGGCTCACTGGGAAAAAGCGATTTTGCCGGTTCATCCTCTGGCGGAGTCTGCAGGGCGTTCAAAGGAGTGTCCATGAGAGAATAGTACGAAGAATCCATCGCGTTCCAGAATCCATTGGGATCGTTGAACTCATTTATGCCAGAGAATTGACACGTCGCTGCCGTCAAAAGCGGCTCATCCCAGGCCAAGGGAAAGGTCTCGTTGTGCGATCCAAACGGTAGAGAGGATTCTACCATGGAGAGATCTGTGATGAGGGTGGATTCATATATCGACGGAGTTCCAGCGGGCGCTGTGAGTGGAGGTGGGATTTCGAGACTGTACGGCGGCGGCGGTGGCAGCGACGGCGCGGGAGCCAATGGGACGACTTTTTCCAGCGCATTCTTATTGGATTCACGCTTCTCAGCGATCCTGCTGGCTGCAGGCCGTCTCCCAAATCGATGGGATGGCCCATAGAAGCAAACCAGATCTCGGTCCTCGCAGCGGGAGCAGACTGGTTTGGCTCTGTTGCACTTCACTTTTGCAAAAGCGCAGTTGTTGCAGCTATCCTTTAGTTTCTGTTTGGACCTTGGTGGACGGTTCATTATCAACTCGGTGCGGGGTGATATCTTGTCGACTCGTCTCATTAGGAAAAAGGGCTTGAAAAGATTATATTATGAGCGAGCTCGTTGGGATTAGACCACCTACGTATGCATGCGAACGGGTAAAGCGTAGACATATAACCAGGCCGAGATTGAATGTATGCTTTCTTTACTCCGTGCCACAGCCAGTTAGTTACTGCAGTCCGCTTTGCCAGCCTCGTTCCATCCAACAGCTGAAGCGGTGTTCAATGCACTTCAGCTTGTCCTGTTAAATCGCACGTCTAAGCCACCAACCTGCCTGCTTGTCGTGACCAGGGCCTCGAACCATTAGTAAACTCCCCGCGTCGTGTTGTCGGAAACCTCGTGTCTGGTCGACTTCGTCTTATTTTTCCGATGCTAATAGTTCTTTGATTTGATAATGGCTACAGCACGTTTGCCACATCTTCGTGCCGTCAATTGCAATCATCAAAATACACAAATTCAAGGCAACAAAACAGCCTGCCACCCCGCTTCATCCGCGTATTCGGAGTAATATGTTCAAAACCCATTTCCGCATCCACATTGTCTGTGTTTACGACGTGAAACTTACCCTGGATGTCTACAATATGTCGCTATTGGCAGCGCTGCAGCTGGGTGTGGATCTTACATTATTTCCTATCGCATTAATATGTGCTTTTCCACTCGGGCCGTGATCGGCAGGATCCTATATGCTTTTGATAGGATCAAACAAACAAGATTAATCAGTTAGTGCTTTTGTGTAGGATGGCATTGCAGACAACTTAGGCATATATGGACGACATACAGTGGCGACTTCGTTCAATAGGGGGCCAGAAGACGCGAGAATGCATTAAAAAAAAAAAAAAAAATACTTGAGGTACACTACTCCCAGTCCTCTGCGAAACTTGGCGTGGTTACCTCTCGCTCGGGACTGGACGGGAGCCGGATATGAAGGGCCTTGGAAAGCTTCAACGATAAGCTCGATTGCTGATGTGCATAAGGTTCCAGAGGGTTGCTTGCACTGGGCTGGGCTTGACGCAGGACTTTTCAGTAGGCGGAGTAGAGCCGTTGGGCCATCCACAATGAGTGTGACAGTTTTCATAGACCAACCATGCGTGTCATCAATGGTAAGAATGGACACCCCTCTCTTTTGTGAATATATTGTGAACTAAAGCCGAGGGGCGAAAGTCAACGACTGGATTGATAGCAAGGGTCTATGGAAGAAAGTTAATGATTACTCTCGCCGGCCTAGCCGAGTATACCGTGGTCAACTCAAGGAAAGGTGTAGGCAAAGATGCAGACACGGTTTACCACGATGGTCGGGAGCAGAATAAGCATCCTTAGTCATTGAACACGAAGCCTGTTTTAGAAGCCAAGTAGTTAATGGAGTTTCGGGATCAACCAATTTTCGGAATGGCTTGGATCTAGGCAGCGTGAGCCGCTGCCGGGCTGATCCAACGCGGTCAAGCCTCAACCTCCATGTTTGGTTGTTAGCCGTGTGGGGAAGTACCATGGAGCTGTGAGTTCCCAAAAATTGGGTGTTAATATTAGAACGCGGGCCCACTGGGGATATCAAACAAAAAACTTGCATAACTCTCGTGGATTTACCGCAGCGTCGGCATACGAGCATCACTTCGCGCAGCGCCTTGGTCATCCTAATCAAAGGTTGGTCGAGATTCCACGATAGCATCCTCTGCAAGGGTAATACCTCAGGCAGGCCACTGGGTCCTTTTTGTGGACTCTAGTCACCAAACAAGGCCGTCCTGCCGGAGTCCAGTATAGGGCAAGGTTCATTGAAACACTAGCTCAGGTGAGTCAACCGAAGTTGTTCACGGTAGAAACCATGCCATCCTGTCAGCTTAACAGCCAGAGAACCCATAACGGCGAAGACAGCGAGTGGCGTTCTCTGCAAATCGAAACATGCCAAGCATGAAATATGGGTCTTGCTCTTTCTCGTTTCAGGACAGAAATATCCTCAAACCGGGCCGAAGCCTCTAAACGGGACTCATTGCTAAAGTTTGAGAATTAATGGGTGTATACTGCGTATGGCCGGCTTCTATACGAGTACAAAGAAGATGCGGGCTTGGAAGGCCTTCCTCGCAGAGAAACAAAGCGATTTCGATCAGTGGTCAGCCTCCAAGACGACCGAAGATATAAATAAACTTGTAATCAGCTCTCCACCGACCGTGTTTCGAGGGCTTTCACTTACAAGGCTGAGGCTCCCTACATATGGGCCTTGGGGCCAACATCACGGAGTGCCCCGTATTCATTTTTGGGAGTCCAATGAAAAATATATGTATGGACGGCCCACCAACCATGCATGCTGTACCCATCCTGACCCTGATCGGTGCTGCAAGGGCCACTTGAGCTACACAATCGCGTGAGTTGGCGATGTCAAAAACTCTCCCCAACCTTGCTCGGTCGTCAGGGATGCGGTGTCCATCACGCTAGTCTGTTTATGGCTAGTCTGCTTATCAGACCGGATAAAGTATTTATACGACATACCGGCGGTGAGGTTTTTCCCTCCCGGTTGGCCCCTGAGGTCAGGTGGCTGGGGCTTTTTTGCCTAAACGCCTTTGGCGCAGTTGCAGAAATAGTGACAACGCCTCCTGCTCGTAGCCTGTGCCTTGTTAGCCCAAAGTAACTGGTCATCCTGGCACCGTGCGTGGCACTATGAAAAGAATGAGTTAGCTTATGTGAGTCCTGTTTTTTTAAGCTTGATGAATGGAAACATGACACTACGAAGTATAGGAACAACCATTTGCAACTGTGCATTGTTTATTCCTCGGAATCGAACGCCAATGTTTCAATAATTGTCACTATAATAACTACATAAGCAAATAATGGCGCGTCCGTCGAGGCCATCACAAAGCATTGCCTGCATTGTAGGCATGGTATGAGACCTCAATGGCGGACAATGTACTCCCGGGTGACCTTCGCACACCCACAATACCCAGTTTTCCCTCCCCGTCAGAGGCCTTGTTTAGAATATCCTCAAACTCCTGCCTGTCACGCTCCTTTGTATTGAAAACTTCCATCATCGTCATGTCCCGGTAGCGTGCAAGACCTTCATCCACGATTCCAATGCTCCCGGGCTCGGGGAGTAGAGTGTCGACAATCAAAATTCGCGCAGAGGGGTTCTGCTTCAATGCCGGGACCAGATTGGCGAGAATACGAGACGCTTCGTCGTCAGTGTGATTGTGAAGCACCATACGAAGGAGATATACGTCGGCGTTTGTCACGGTCTGTGGCTCCAGAGCACGGTGTGCAGCGGTCGTGATGCGCTTGCGAACGTTCTCTGGCTGAGAACGGAGAAGGCCTCGACAGTTTCCCACAGTCTCTGGTGTGTCTTGAATTATGAAGCTAAGTGCAGGATAACTTTCTGCCAAAGCGATGCAGACATTCCCCGGAGCACCATCTATCTAGAAGAAAGTTAGCATCTCTGCGCGTGAACTCGCATTTTAGAGCCTTACATGTACCACTAGTGCCTTCCCCATGGCTTCCCAGTCATAGTCCGCGACCACATGCTTCACATTTGTCGCCCTGCTTGCTTGAACACCCTTCATATACGCGGAGAATAACCTGCCCCATTCGCGAGATTGGGTGATAAAGTCGAACGCTGTCAATTGGGTGTTCATGGCCAAGTTGACTGCGGTTTGGTTCCCGGCAACTGTGTCTCCCCATTTCTCAGTGGCTTCGGAGAACTTAGACGCGACCGGCATGTAGAATTCGGTCATAAACCTTGTCCATCCCAGATAGGCAGGATTGGTGACAAACAGGCGGGAAACGGCGTTGTGGGCGACATGGCCCGGAACTGGCTCACACAAGAAGTTTCTTGTCATTGCCATGCGTGCCACACTACGAAGGCGGCGTTCAGGCAGTGTACAGACACTGGCCAAGTCGGAGAATGGGACTGAACCTTGCAGAGGAATCGCCGCGAGCACCTGGAAGTGACAGAGCCATTGAATACTTGCAATTAATTGGTACTATGTGGGCTTCCTTTAGCTCTACTTGTATCGTTGACCAAAAGGTGTCTAGAGAAGAAAATACCTCAACCGATAGGTTGACAAGGAATTCTGTAGGTTCGCTGATCAACTGCTGGATTTTTGCGGCGGAGTTGAGGACTCTTTGTCTGGCATCTCGTACATTAAGGGGAGCATCATCAGATGATGATGAATGAGAGTCTCCGGCGAGGGCATCATGCCCTGTGATGAGGTTTGTCGCCGCGCATATCTCCCTAGCCAGCGCCTGAAGTTCAGAAATTTCACACATATTGAGACAACTGCAAAATCAACGGGATAATTGAGATGAAGAACGCATTATACAAGTTGACTGGAAATCAAGCTCATTTCAAACATAATTACATACTCACAGCAATTCTACCTCGACCCCTACACACGCAGCCGTCTTTCTTTAGATCGGGACAATCCTTGTCCTCCCGATCCCTGTTCTTGCTGCAGCCCGGCCAACAAGCGCACTTCCCCCAATCGATCGACATTCGGCAGCGGATAGTTATTTTTGTTCGCTCCCCGGTCGGGACCAAAAGTCAAGATTTTTGGGGAAGAATTTCCAGCAGTTAGGCACCAGCAACATGTACGGAGTATTGCATTCAAATACCTCTCTGCTGATAGCTAGTTATCCGCTAAATGTCCCGGTAAGCAAGCTGTCGGATTGCTATTTTCATGTAAATTGGCTTCGACAACGGGAATCGGGGAAATAGGTTTATTTTAACTGGGCTGAGCAGAATGCCAACGGAGCGCACATACCCGTATGGCTTACACTGGTCTGTGGTTGGAAGAGTGAGGCATTGTTCTTGAAAGGCTTGCACCAGTCTCTTTTTGCACCAGAGAAGAAAAATTAACAAAATTAAAAAATTAAAAGAATAAACTTAGGGAGTACTTCTATTTCCTTTGTTCTGGCGGGCGAGGGATGAGAAAGCTATCATTTGGAAGAAACCATCATGCGATTTCTCTGCCTGCACGGTAAGGGCACCAGCGGCGCTATCTTCCGCAATCAGACTGGTAAGCCTCTTTCTCCCTTTGTTGCAAATTTTCTCTCTCTACGAGAATAGTTACTCGTTGCAGAGGCTGCCGTTTAACCATTTTCACTCACTGAGGCTCGCGGGGACTCTCATTTATAACTATAGCTACGTTCCGGTCGTATCTAGACCCCGACAAGTACAAATTCGACTTTATCGATGCACCGCACAAGACAGATCCCGCATGGGGCCTCGATGCCCTATTCTTCCCTCCAAATTACACTTTTTGGGAAGACATCAGCCCGCCCAGCATAGCCGATGCGCACATATGGCTTCTTGATTTTATGCGACGGCAACCTCAGCCCTACGACGGCGTGCTCTGTTTCTCTCAGGGCTGTGCCGTGATTTCCTCTCTAATTATCTTCCACCAGAACGAACACCCAGAGGAGCCTCTTCCGTTCAAGTCCGTCGTTTTCATATGCGGAGGGATCCCACTCCCAGCTTTGGAGCACATTGGAATCCATGTGCCCGAACGGGCGTGGCAAATCCACAACCAAACTGCAGAAGCCATGTCCACTCAAATCCACACTCTGCAGTCTGAAGTTGAGGAAATTGTCCAGACTAAGAGCAGACCACGTACCCGCCAGAAGCTCCCGGATGAGAATTTGGAAGCACGAGGATTGGAGCGCACACGCCGCCGGGATACGGGCAAGCCGCACCTGTTACCGGAGTTTGGCCTTCATAATGTCTATGGTCTAGATATAACCCTTATCCCTGACTGTCTGCGAATCAACATTCCCACTGTCCACATCTATGGCAGCAAGGACCCTCGTTATCCCTGCTCGATTCAGCTGGCACACTTCAGCAAGCCAGAAATCAGACGGGTATACGATCATGGAGGTGGTCATGAAATTCCCGTAACGACCAGTGTCTCTTCCGAGATAGCGCTCGCTGTCGAGTGGTTGGCTAGCGTTTCTTGACTAGGGTTAACGTTCTCTATAATATTATTATGCGACCCGTATCATAAATTTAAGACAGACATAAAGTCGAGGGCGTAATGGAAACTCTTTTTTTCCCGGGGGTCAAACGCATCATATAGAGTATATTGCAATAGAAGAGGGATCAAGGAGCGAGAGAATTGTTTGGCATCGTCAGGCTGGTCCATATCCTATTTTGATACTTGTTCGGGTTTCATTCTCAATGTGGATGTTCTGCAAAAAGTCTATCTTGTAATAAGTGTATGTCTCTCCCAAGGCCATGGCTCGGTCGCTCTGTCATGATAAAATAGCTTCAGATTCTAAGCAAACAATACAAACATAAAAAACTAGTTAACTAGTTAAAATAGTTCGCACATTAAGCTAACCAGAGCCCTTCGGCTGACGGGACCCAACCACGGAGTCCATGGGCTGGTTTGAACTCTTACCCGTCAGACCACTGGCACGGTCGAAAGGACTGCTGACGCAGGAATTGGCGCTTTGACCAATTTTGCCAACTGTTTAAATAGTTACCTGCCTGTCCGGCTCCTGTTGCTACCCCCCGTTGAAGTCACTAGGTCCTAATCGCACAGATCACGATCAGGATTTTCTCGCATCCGAAGAGTCAAGAATCGTTGAAGGAACAGCTTGGTCATCATATATTTCATTGTGACTGGGGAATCCTTTGCCGTTCAGATTTGCTCCACGAGATGTCCCGTTCCTCGTTGAGGTCGGCTGGTATTTTGGTGCTCAAGCGGGTCGGCACTTCGGCACTATCTCGAACTCGAAAGCGCCGAATACCGGCATTCGCATTTTGGCTCCAGCCGGCTTGAGTTTAATTAGCCATTCCATGGTTGGGATCCCACTCCTGGGGCTCCTCTAAGCATGCTCTGGGGCTGAGGATGGGGAAGAGTCCGTGGTTCTGCACCCCATACTTCTGAGTTTGGTCTCGGGTATGTTCCGCTTACAGAAAGGCCCCAATCCCTTTCTCCCTCTGCGCTCCACTGCCATTCAAGGGCACCAATGGGTCGGGGCTTTGGTCGAATCAACGCCACGGCTTGGATTACGAGCTGGGCCCTGGCTCCTGCATCGTATAGGAAGAGGAGCTTGAGATTTTGAGGGGTAGTTATGGGTCTTTGTGGTTTATATTTCTTCTGGCCGTTCTCCAGAATTTTCAACGTCAGCTCGATTGCTTGTCAAGGACGTTTCAGTCAGCATAAAGCTTTGTTTAAACAAAATTTCGAAAATGGACGAAACTATGGGCTACAAACATAGCTCTCCGGAGCCAGAATCTTCTCAGCACGATAGTCCTCAGAAGCGCACGGCATCTGAAGCCGCCTTGGACAACAATGACGGAAGAGCGACGAGGAAGAGAGCTGCCAAAGCCTGCCAGTCTTGCAGATCGCGCAAGGTTCGATGCAGTGTCTCCGATCATGGAGTGCCATGTTACAATTGCAAACTGGATGAGCTAGAATGTATCATCCCGGAGCGCAAGAGACCAACACGGACGGCGAAGAGGGAGTAAGTGGTTCAATACCCTATAGATCGAAAACGCTGGCTAATCGGACTCGATTGTAGTAAATCCTTGGGCGCAGTGATTTCTGAAGCCGTTCTACGCATAGACAGCTCCACGCCAGACGCTGGAAGCGTCCCGTCAGACATTGTGCGCAGACCGTCGTCTGCTACCATTCCAGACGACTGGGAAGGGAATTTTGGATACAGCATTGGTACACCTCCGAACTCAACAGGATCTCCTGCCCACTTTGCCTCAGAACATACCGAGCTCGAGAAAGCTGAGTTTGTTGAACTACCACCTTGCGACGAAGAGCTAGCACGCTGGTTTAGTGTGATGCCGGCTCGTGTGGTGGACAAGATGTTTGAGTACTTGACTCTTCTCAGTCAATACGGCCAGGGGGATTCATTATCACCCAGGCCACAGCATCCAAAATTCAAACCCAATGAAAAGGTCCGACTCATCCCGCCGGGTAATAGCACTAAGCGCAAAACTCTCAGCCCCGAAGTTCAAGATCACCTCCGATATCACATAGCATCTCAACAAAATCTATATCCCTCCTCACGCCCTCTGGAGCCGCCCTCACCACAGTCTCCCACTGAAGACGCGTGCCAGCTAGCCCTACACGACCCACAAAGGAACATATCCCTCCTTAAGCAGCTCCGCGACAGCCACGCGGCCGCCAGTCGCACGATGAGCACCCTGGAAGCAACCATCCGCAAGGTCGACGCCCAACTCACCAACCGGCGAGAACCCCGCTTTGGCTCGTCTCCTCCAAACTGCCGCGTTGCTCCCCCGACATGTGCATTCCCACATTCCTTGGCAAGCACCAAAAAGACCCCACCGACACTAACGCCTCCGCCCGAGAATCAGAGCGCGTACGCGATGAGTATACAGACGTTGCAGCAGCTGGAGAAGTTATTCGCGCCAGCAGCACAGAGGGATCCTGCGCCCAGTCACACGGACTACCGCAATCCGCAGAGCCAGCAGAACGGACTTCCTGCGAAGCCGGAGGGCGCACTGGACGGTTTGAATGATGGTCTCGGTGGGCGGGGTGAAGACTTCGAGGAGACGTTTGATTCGTTGATTGACTTTGGTGGCGAAGACTCTCTGTTCCAGCTCGTTTGACTATGTTGAATTCTATGTCTCAAACGTTGGAAGTTTAATCATTCCGTGTGTACCGAGTACTATGCTTAAACTGCCTTACAAATGTATCTTCTATAGCATCCTTACCCATCATGCTGCCCTCTTTGGGCCATCAAGGTTCCTTCCATCGACTGAACTCATTCTCCGTTTCCCGCATAATGCCTGGGCAAGGCGCTCAACGAATTCCAGGAAATTACTCCGCACTTCGCAGCGCGGTGCGGATGATGGACGGGTTGTTTCTGGAACCTCGCCGACTCCACTCTCCCCGCCTGCTGCGATGTTTCTCGGCCGCGTGGAGCAGCGACACGATGGCGCTATTCTCGAAACCGTAACTGGTCTGCGAGCTGGTTTCGAGATAGAGCTTTACGGTACTGAAACCGTACAGCTAAGACTCAAGCCAATAGAACATTGTAATCCTGTATTGATACCGTTACTGACCTGTAATCTCGGAATCGTGGCAACGGCCGGGATAATAAATCCCGATGGACAGGTTCGGTTAGCCGACGCCAAATGGCTTTGGGGCTTGCGACGAGGGTTGGCATTTCGAAAATCTGGGGTAGTGGCGTCGACTTCCGAGAGACCTTCGGGCTATGCTACATAACTTGCTGTGGCTCTCGGACATACTCCTCGAGTTGACTAGATAAAAATCAGAGTGGCGCTTGTTCTTGTCTTCCGTAGATCGGGCTGTATCAAGGCCCGTAAGGAGAAGAGGAATAGAAGCAACGGGAGAACTACTCAGATAATGAGGCCCGTGAGTCCTCTGCATGAGACGTGTTCGCTCTCGAAAGCCAGTGTGCTGAGGATAACGAGAATCCCTCGGACTACGGAGTACCCCATGACTTCGCGGAAGTTCAACCTCCGCGCGCAGGGCACGCATCCAGTCAACAGAGCCCTGCTCGAACTATGCCCCACAGTTCCCAACTGCAAGATAATCACGGAGGTTAGAGCTCCTCCACTGGGCATATTGACAAGGGATACATATTGAGAGTACATATGCGGCATGATTACGACTGGTCGACCAAATCTCGAAGCTCGCCTTTCTCGCAAAATCCGGTCTCTCGTATACCTATCGCGCTTTCCTCTTTAGCGTCAGCATGATCCCAGCAGTCCTACAGCCCGCCCTTGCGGATATTCCAGCCGCCATCAACGCCGACTTGGAATTTCAAACATCGGCCAATGGAGTAACCGCGAAGTTCGCCATCCAAGATGCCGGTTCAGAGACTGCGCTACAAATCTCAATCCATGATGGCCTAGTTACCGAGGCGCAGATAGCTCAGCCTGCAGGGGATGCCGAATTTACACTCTCAGCACGCCAAGATGACTGGAAGGAATTTTTCGCGGCTGTTCCCCGCGCGCCATGGCAGTCGTATTGGGGCATGTTGCGGGTCTTGGGGCATAATCCCGGTATGCAGGTACTAGGAGATATGGCATCGTTCATTCGACACGCTCGTTTATGGAGGATATCCCTTGATCGAATTCGAGACGCCATTCATTCAAGGCCACTTTCCGCAGATCACGTCGAATATGAGGAAATAACAGAAGAAGATAGCATAATCGGTCGGTACGTCTGGTTAGACTCTGTTGGCTGGGGAAAGAGTAAAGTCTTCTGCGAATCTGCCGGCACAGGCCCGCAACATGTTTTATTTCTCCACACAGCAGGCGCAGATTCCCGCCAGTTCCACGCTTTGATGAATAATTGTGAGTTGCAGCAACGCTGTACGATGTTCGCCTTCGATCTTCCGGGCCACGGACGCTCATACCCAGGTTCAAAAACGCAACCCGAGGGCTTCGTAAACGATGAGGAGCAATACGTTAGTGCGATCAAGCAAGTCATCGAGAAACTAAAACTTCACCGCCCTATAGTGTCAGGTGCCAGTATGGGGGGGCAGGTGTGCCTTGCAGTGGCGCTGCGTGCGGAAGAACTAGGCGTCAGCGGCGTTATTCCATGTGAGGCTTGCGATCACCTGCCACTCACTCAGCCGATATATCACTTACCGGGGGATCAAAATGAGGCCATTCTTAACGCTGAAAGAGTCTGTGGAATGATCTCTCCGACAGCTCCCATGTCGAACAGGAAACTAATCTGGTGGATATATTCATCCCAAGCTGTACAAATGTTCCATGGAGACCTGAAATTTTACTTTCAGGGCTGGGATGGACGGGATCGAATGCATCTCATCAACACGAAAATTTGTCCTGTCTATATGCTCACCGGCGTGTATGATTATTCGTGTACACCAGAGCTAAGCCGGGAAACGGCATGCAAGATTCCAGGAGCGAAGTTCGAAGTGATGAGGGATCTTGGGCATTTCCCAATGACTGAGAATCCAACAGTCTTCCTAGAATACTTTATTAAAGGGCTCGAGCACATAAAGAGTGCCCAGTAAGACTACCTAGCACAATATTAGCAGCGCTATCGACGCACATTTAGCTCATTGCTCAAGGATGATAAAATGTGCGCTAGAGTAAATACCTTAGATTTTTCATCAAACACAAAAAAAGAGCTGTTTTACGATATTGTGTTGTGGCAATTGAGTTTCGGCATTTCGGAAAAGTGCCGTGGTGGTAGGTGGCTGAAAGGTTACTCGCGACCGGTGATGAGAGGCTCAAGACCGACACATTTTGCTTCATCCCTAGAAAATCCCACGTCCGGACAGGGTACACCGGAATGGAGCATAAAAAGCCGATTCTTATCCAAAGTTGATTTTCGGCCATTAGACTGATGCGATGGGAGATCGAAGCTTCATGCGATCATTCTCTTTTGAAACTCTGCGCATATCAGCCCGTCTGGCCAGGAAGTTCCCAAACTGAAACTAGATCCACTGTTGAAAGCTCAGCTTGGATGTCTTGGAGCACTGCACAATAGTCTCCTTTGCATTGAACTTGAATTTTGATTGGAATCAAAGTCAGTTCCGCCACCGTGTAAAGCCAATGATTCATACCAGATCAACAAGATCCAGCGGGAAGGAGCGACCGTCCCAAGCCCTAGATCGGCATCCATAACAAAGGATTCTCATTCTCAGCTTCAACAAAACGCCATTCAGCACATGTCACGGTAGCGAACCGATATAAGGAGCGACAAAGGGTATGATCAGGACGAGGGGCGTCAACAGAGGCTACTCTCGCCCTCATCCTAGTATGCAAAATAAAAATAAAATAGAGACGGAAATAATCAAGAGGACACGCGAAGCGCCTCTAGATTTAAACTGAAATCGACAGTTACGCCTTCTTCGATATGGTTTGGCCGTACAAACCAACGTAGAAGATTCGATACTGAGCTAATCTTCTTGGTTAACAACATACATGAAATCAACTTCAAATTTTGGGTGATAAAAAGCAAGAACATGTTCAAAATGAGATCACAACCAGCTCGAATAGTAAAAATTCTTCTTAGGTATGACTAGTCAGTTGGTGACCGGCCAAGGATTGTTCTCTGGGAGAACTTGAGAATCGGGGATAACCTTCCAACCTTTACTTAATTGTCACGTGACAAGGAGCAATGTCCACCACCATCGCCTCTATCAATCAACTTGCAGAGAAGGATATCTTCTCTGAGGCCATCTGTAAAACTGGAACTGCGGACTTTGTTCTTTTTCTCTCGTTATATATAACTAATTCACATTTGTGGTCTTCATATTTTCTAGCTCACCTCACTACAGCAGTCACAGCGCCCTCACCTTCATTCCTTCGAGAGCTGTCCCCCTTTTTGAGGTCCTCCCCGCCAAAATATACTCGAGATGACACGTGCCCAGCAATCTCTCTCTATCATTCTCCTTTTGACATCAGTAAGCCTGAACCTTCAAGCCCGTTGACTTGTCTACGAAATCTCTGCTAACCATTTATCTTACCCAACAGCTCTACCTCGCCCTCTATCTCGGTCTCGTTCCCATGAATGGCGTAATCCAAGAGCAAATCATTCCATATGTATGTGTTCCCAGCCCTCGACCGCCTATTCCTTTATGTACCCTCTAACAGCAGCGACGGGCTTATAGCTTCCCGCATACACAATCATGGCGTTCGGCTCGTACCTACTCTTCCGACTCGGCTGGGGGATGTTTACCTTCAACGACGTTCCGGCCGCTCATAAATCGTTGCAAGCAGAGATTACCACCGCGAAAGCTCAACTCCGAGCAGCAAAAGTACAAGTTGATTAAACAGGGTCTTCATCTGCTATGCTTTTGAGGAAAGGGGTCGATGCATTTAATGGGGACTGAGACATGAGGGATCGGTTTGAATATTTAATATTGTAAATTTATTCGGATTACGACGGAGTCGACAGCATTGGCTTTTTATTTTTATTTTTATTTTTTGTCCCCATTTATTCGCTGGCTTTCATGAATTTTATTCTACCCCCCAATGGGAGGGCTCTTTTATGGATGGCGAGTTGGTGATTCCTCTCCACAATGCCCACTCTTACTGGCCTGGATGGGCTATTTCACAACATCATACTTCCTAGTGCTGTGTTCATGCAGCCATGAAACAGGGACCGGTGCGTCGCTAAACCTGGTGAGAAACATGCGATGAAAACCGATCTAGCAATGCTGCAGCCTTGACTGAGATACAGCATATGTTTGTGGCATACCAATAACATCAAGATCAGAAATACCTTGTTTCTATGTTGCTTTATTTTTATTTTTATTTCCCTCAAATATTGATTGGTATATGGTTCACAGAACTGCTTCGGTGAAACAAACACCAACCTACCCGCAGCCTCAATCAAAGTCCCCAGAGAGGACACACATGAGGCCTGGTGTTTGCACTGCAGTATATACGGCACTTCCTGTTCCGTTGGAAGTTTGATATCTCCCAGGCTCGGAGTATCTACGAAGACAGCTTGAGCGAACACAAAATCAATGGTTCCTTGTTTTTGATAAGTTATGACACCAATGGGTGTTCCACAGCGAGTCTGTCGTGCTCTTCGATGTCCCTATTAGTAGGCCCGGGGTTAGCGAAATCTAATCCAACGGTAAAAGACAACGAGCGCTAATCACCAAGCCTTCACTCGCAAAATAGGCGCCAAGATTCGATCGAAAGATTGAGCTGTTTTAAGGGTGCAAGGATGCATGGGCTAAACTTACTTAGCTTCCCATGGATAACATATCCAGACATCATCTGTGGTGACAGCAGCAAGATATCTGTCTTCTTTCAACATTTCTGGGGGTAGCTTCCCCTTCTTCTCTTTATTTTTATTCTAGGGGCCCAAGTTAGCAACAAAACGCGCCATGTTTCAACAAGACTTCGATGTCCTGTAATGGTCCGAGATTCACTCACATGAAGAACAAATATCGAAAAAGTGGTCTTCTCTCCCTGGCGACCAAGTTGCTTTTGTGCGAGCTCCACGTCCTTCTCTAGCTCCCTGACTGCGTACTCCAAAGTCGTCCGAGTATCGTCAACTTCGTCTACAATCAAGACATTTTTCCCAATCAAGTTTGCCATCTCCAGGGAGCTCATATCAAGCCATTGTGTTCTTGTAACCTTGGTACCCGGAGCTTCGATATCACCTTTGCCAAGATCCTCGTAGAGGGAGAGACCGATGGCTTGGATAGGAATATTAGGAGCGCCAGGTTGCTTAAGGAACGATCTGAAGGTTTGAGATCTGTTAGAGGTGTCTGGCTACTATGCGGCGTCGCGATCTTTTGCGCCGGTGCGGAGATTGTCTATCATGGACTGCAGCGAGATGACACAGACCTCAATATTCTCGCTGGTACATATCCTCCTCCTCCAATGGCGATCATAAGATTGGGGCGAAAATCCTTTAGGATTCTATCCGCCGACTGCTGGCATAGTTTATGCACCTAGAAAAGGGTATGGTCAGTTCGGTATTTCCGGCGGCCGAAGAAAGTACATTTTGTGTAACTATAGCACTGCAAACTACGGGCTAGATTCTTCATCGCCGTTCAAAGTTCGACAGCGCAACCGATCTTTGGGCGTACCTGGTTATATGTAACGTAGAATTTTTCCGACATCTTGTCCGAATGCGCGCCGAAGTGAAGGGGTTTGGACTTTCTAGATATCCTGCTAAACTCAAAAAAAAAAAAAAAAAAAAAAAAAAAAAAAAAAAGAAGTTGATTAATATATCGACCTGGATAAACACTCAGTAAGCGTCAAGGTCTCGAGCGGTCGCTTCTGACGCAGTTTCTCTCTGCAGGTCATAGTGGGGGAGAAGCCATACTGGACAACCGAAAGATAACTGCCTCCGAAAGAGAGAGTAAATCACAGCGCTATGACCGATTCTATTATCTAGCTTGACGGAATCAGGAGACTTTATCTACTCCAAGAAAGGAAAATATCAAAGGGCAACGCAACGAAATATTTCTCTGATGTTGGCGGGGCGGGATCGGCCGCGCAAGAATATTCAAGGGCAGAACGTGATAACGGCCGGCCTTGGCTTGATAAGGGCAAAGCCCTAGCCCAGTGGATGCCTTGGGGAGGCCCTGTCCAATCACAGCTGCGAATAACTCGGAACTTTGTTCACCCAATGCCGAGGCTTTATCATCCGTGCAAACAGCACAAACAAGTCATCACAGGCATCACCAACATCAAATCCAACGCCATCACCTCTTCGAACCTGTATCATCCGTGTCATCTTTGATTTTACTGCATTTGTATTGATGCTTCCATCGCTTTTACGTTTCCTACCCCGGTTTGGACGATGGAAGCCCCTAAGCTTTTCCAATTCGAACTTTCCCCGGATACCACTGGCTCAAAAAATCGAAGAGGAGACGATCCCAGGTTACGTCGCCGCGCGGTACTATCCCGTTCGCATTGGGGAGGTCTTCAATGAGAGATACCAAGTTTGTTGGTAAACTCGGATACGGAGCAACTTCGACGGTGTGGCTTGCGCGGGACATGAAGTAAGACCCTCCGATCTCCATCATAAAATTGTGTTAAATGCCTGAACTAAAACCATCTTCAGCCGCTGTAATTATGTTACCCTCAAGATATTCATTACATCTACATCCATGGGCCAGCAATTGGATGGCGAGCTCAATATGTACAAACGTCTGGAGCGAGGCTCGAAATCTCATCCTGGCCACAAAGCTGTGCGGATGCTTCTTGACTCTTTTGATGTTAATGGGCCCACGGATAAACACAGATGCCTCGTACATCCTCCCCTATGGGAGAGCTTGACCTTTCTTCGCCACAATCCAATTCACAGACTACCCGTTCCAATCATGGCAACCATACTAAAGTATCTCCTTCTAGCACTGGACTATTTGCATTCCGAATGCAAGATTATCCATGGTGACATCTATGTGGAATCAAAGATAACAATGCAGAGAGCCATCAGATCTTGTCCTGGAAGGATTCCAAGCAGTTTATAACTGCAAGGTTTGCTTCCATCACTATCTCCCAGATTCATCCTGCTGGGAGCATTGGCCTTTGCATATGTCCCAGTTGCCGCCGACATGGCCAATCACTAGATCACTCTGACCTATCTATGTTTAGAAGTCAGGATGGTTGATTGTCAAGGTAGGTTTTGTTTTGTGATAGTGTGTTGCCAGCAGCCAAATGGCCGGCGGCTACCTTCGCGAGCGTCACATCTTGGGTTTCATACTCCGTAGTGTGGAGAGGAAAAAAGGCCCTAGTGCGGGCAGCTACATCATGGCACTGAGGAAGTGATGGTGGTTGGAACTCATCCGTAATCCAACCAACTGGTGTCCGAAAGCTGTTTATGGAACAGTGCTCCCTCGGTACTAGTACTTGGTGGTCCTAGTCCTATCCCTTCATCAGATCTGTCACGAGATGTTATAAAGGGTGGGGGGAATGGCTTGTGTGGGGAGATATCAAAGACGCTATTGTTACGACTTTCACGACCAAGGATCTGGAAGCTATCATATCAAAAGATCCCGAGATAGCTCGACGTGTCCAAGTAGGTGTGATCAAATGTTTCAACCTAAATCAGGACCCCTAAGGAATTCTCTCTGACAAGCTAGGATCGAACCCAACCAGACTACCGATCAAATCCTTGGACGCCTGTTCTGGAACTTGAGGGTCCCTGGCACCTACGCCTCCAAACTTGCGGTTGACTTTGCTCAGTGCTGGAACTTCCTTCCAACCTTTCTTGAGGGTGTCCATACTGCCTACCCTCAGCCTTCAGAAGCTGTTATTGATTCAGAAGGTGTTGGTGTTGAGGAACTGGGGCAAACTCCCTACCGAATACCGCCAACCAATCCGCTCTGTCAACTGGATTGCCATTCACTGACTTCTGCGGAGCTTTGGGCAATGTCATCTCATCCTCAACTCCTATTGCTTCCACACACTCGCGCAACCATGCATTTTTTTTCTCAATTCTGCTGATACTATCATATCCTATTCCGCTGATTACCCCCTAGACGACTATCCAAGACACAGTAAAGCTAAGTTCCGTGGCACAAACAATGTTAGCCCCTACCAAAGGCAGTAGTCCCCAAAACTGTTACCCGCGAATCAATCGCATACAGCATGTCCTCAACTGCCCTGGCAAGCCTCCAGCGGTTGCCTATACCCTGCTATACGGTTACTGCAAAAACTATGCCTCAACAGCTCCAATTCTCCCTTCCTTGAGCCTTCGACCGCCAGAGGCATCCAGCACTCCCGTGAGCCATACGGACATGTCTCCTTCTTCCGGGATACCTGCAGAGCTCCTTCCTGGAGTGGAATAATGGATACCAGGCATGCTGCTAGAAGCCAGGCCCGCAGCCGTTCGAACACCGATCCATGACGCCCCGTGGTGACCAAACCCGCAGCCAGCATCAAATAGCGGTCCGCAGCTTAGACTGCCTAGCAGCTCACCTTCGCCTGCTGAGTCCCTGCCTGCTCCTTCTGTTATTGAATCTGCTAACACGCCTTCTTCTTCTCCTCCAGAGCGCCCTCCATTGCCTGAGACCTCCGAGCGAGAAGCAACTCCCGACCCGCAACCTACCCCTCTCGAGTCGCAACATACTCCGGAGATGCCTGGAATGTGGCCAAAAGCTCCCGCACGCGGTGGAGGAACAACCACAGGTTCGGTGGGCCTAGATCCCACTCATATTCTCCATAGCAAATGTACACGGAAGCCTCAAATCGAGGCACCTATAACGCGTTTTTGGACGGAGGATACGCGAAAATGCAGCAGGCATTCTCTGCTATATACAGCTCGTATTCGGCTGCAAAACCTATTTGAATAATCTCCAGCAAACCGATTTTTAAATGATGCACTACTACTCTCGCTGCTAGGTCAATGAATGTCCACCAGACAGAGCATGTGATGTGTCTACATCCAGCCTGTTGCGGATAGGTGCACGGATAGCTAAAATTCATGGTGAACCCTGCAGCCAAGCGAAAACAGAAGACGGCTACGTCAGAACGGAGCGGTAATATCTATCTCAGGAGGCAGAGACCACAGAAGAATATAGAGGGAATTCGGCTATGCTCTCCTATATCGCAGATGGCATGTGTTTTACTGGTTACGATGGCCCTCCCCCAACCGATCAGGAGCTCTTAACTCAGTCATCGGTCATACACTTAGACGAACGAAGTAGAGCAGCCTGCATACAAGAGCAGAAGATTGAACATGGCTTGGTGAAAAAAAAGACTATTACTGGCCATCTCTGGTTGGTGGACTGGGATGTCCGCTCCAAGTTTTGAAATGATCAGATCTTCATACACCTGCTCCACCCTCTGCTGAGTGTGAGCTTTTCCAGCAAAAAGCTAGATTCGGCTCCCATTGGCGAAAGCCGAGCTGGAAACGGAAAAAGTAAAAGCCCGAATAGTTTCGCTCAGAAGTCTCCAGCCAATAGGATCGCCTAGAATCTCACGGGCGGCAACGAACGCTATGCAAATTACCAAAAGCAAACAAATCTCTTTTCTCCACAGTCAAATGTTCCATGTCGACGCGCCATAATTGACCGTATAAACGGAAATTCGATTGGGGAAGCAGTGCTCCAGCTACCCAGACATTTTTGGGAGGTTGTCGTGACCTGCAATCATCAACCAGCAACATCAGAGACCTCCGTGACTCCTCAACGCGACCTCTGGATGCTCAGAACGCCATTGACCATATCACCTTGTCCGTAATGTTTTCATTCCTCTGGCACTATTGCTCGGCAGCATGGGCTGGATTTCAACAGTTCATCTATCTCCCATTTTACCTTCTTTTAGGTGTATCCAAGTATGAAATACCCAATGATATCAAGACTACTTCCTCTGCCGGCCTCACTTCCACCACGTACAACATGGAAGAAGCTCCACAAGCCCTTACCCTCTCCAATGCCAAAGCAGCACAATGGAACAGAGATATTCTGCTGGGATTCAAGGCAGCCTTGGAAAAGAACCCTGCAGTGGATCTAATATCAATGCTCTCTGACTCTTATCATCATAAGCATCAAAATGTGCAGTATTCTCAGCTGTCTTATGCTGCAAGAATTAATCTCCAAACACTAAATGAACTTCATGACACCTTCAGGCATGACCCAGAGGTCAATCTGCTATCAGCATTTCCAACAAATTATACCCACAGGATCACAATGGCAACTGGGTCCCCAGCTTTGTCACCCACAGAGAAACACACTTCTGAGAGAAGGGCTTCTGAGTTCCACACACATCTTGATCTTGCTAAGACTGCTTCAGTTATCTTTCCACTGTCTGAGAAGGTTATCTCTTTGCTTGCACAGTCACAAGAGTCAGGGCATAGTGGGCCAGGTGACACAGCTGAGTCACTCCTCCTCTTCTTGAAGAAGCTTCTTTGGGATTCAACAAAGCTCTGGGAAAATCCTGTTAGAGGTGTGATTGTCAAGTGCAATGAGGACATCATCACCAAAGTTGTTACAGGAAACAAAGATTACACAGAGTACACAAGCTTGGAATTCCTTGCAAAATAGGCGCCTGATGTTCCTGCACCAAGACTGCATGGTTTAGTCACTTTTGGGCCCTTTCAGGTCATATTCATGTCATGCATTCCGGGCATGACCTTGACCCAAGCATGGCCTAGCCTGTCCCATGAGGAAAAATTATTGATACAAGGCCAGCTGGATGAAATCTTCTGCTGTCTGAGAATACTTCAACAGGATGATGGCAATGTGCTTGGAGGGGTCTGTGGAGAAGGGGTCAAAGAGCTCTGTGTTGATGAATGCGCCCTTTTTAAAGATATAACCACAGCCATCAAGTTCAATGACCTACAATTCTCTGCCTGCCACCATGGCAGCTCCACTTACATTGAATTCCTTTGTTCCTTTCTGAAAAATGACCACTCCACTTCAATGCATGAATCAGTGTTCACGCATGGTGATGTTAGGACTGATAACATAATGGTGAAACAGGATCCCAACAGCCACTATATTGTTACTGGAATAATTGACTGGGAGTATAGTGGCTTTTATCCTGAGTACTATGAATGCACTGGGCTGACTTGCACTTTGAGCATGGTGGATGAAAATGATTGGTATCTCTATTTGCCAGAGAGCATCTCCCCATCACAGTTTCCTGTACATTGGCTGGTTGATCGACTTTGGGGCACCCATCTCAGAACCACATAGCCCAAACCGGAATTAAATAAAAATCCTCCTTGCGTATGGAATACCCATTCCATGCTAGGAAAGCACTTATCTGGTTCTTGTAAGATGCGTGTGGTTGAAGGGCCAGGCGCCCATGACGGCCACAGGTCAGGGAGGCCATATGGTCAAAGTGCCCGATGGCTCTGATGGCCACAGGCTTGAAGCGCCCACACGGTCCTGGAACCCCTTGGCCCTAGTCGCTAATTGGCGCCAATGCACATTGTGGATGTAGATTACGATCTCGATTCGATTGCCAGGCCAACTGGGTATATTTCCGCTGTGGTAGTCGGAGAAGCCTAAGAGCTTATTGATACCCGCTTCGATTGATACCCGATCAGACAGCGCTTAGGGATCGTCTGATCTGCCTAATTACTAAACAGATGCGCCCAAATAAGATAAAAGAGGCCACTTCGGCCAGCTTTTTTGCGGCCTCTTCTCTCTTCCAAAAATAGCTTGCTACAAGGAAGCAATTGGTTACTTTGCCCACATCCATGCCTCCCAACAGCCACGTGTAAACCATCTTGCCCCTGTCAGTGGATTAACAGTGAGGAAGCGTCTCGCTGCTCCCTCATCCACGCAATTGGGGTGATGATAGCTTTATAAGACCTTTAGCCAGACCTACCTAATGCTCCCAATGCTCTTTGACCCAGTCAAGTTTCTCCCGCGCCCTTGGGCTATACCGTCGCCGTCGAAGACGGGATGGGTCAAGGTTCGCTTCCTCTTCAAGGTAGTGCTCCGGGGGATGCTCCTCCTCATTGAGGAGGCAGGCACCGATGTCCTCCAGCTTATCATCTAGTCCATCTTCCACATCGTCGCCACCGACAGAGGAGCAATCTGTTCGTTGCCTCCATCATCTGAGAAGCATTCGTTGCCTGAATCACTATCTGATGCACGAGGGTCATCTTCTCGGCAGAGATAGCCATCATTAGGCTTAAGGGGATAGTTTGGAAGAGAAAGATCAATCACAGAGTGGACTCAAAGTCCAACTGACAATGAATGAGCAACAGGAGGTAGCTGTCGTCCGGAAACATTGAGGGAAGGGAGAAATGGTATTCTTCAGTGATGGACAGAAAGGAGAAAGTACACAGTGTCCATCAGCAGGCAGTTGGGTGAGCAGAAGGAGCCATTTCTGGCGTCGCGCTCACATATTTGGCCCGCTGACTACAGGGCAAGAGGCCACCACAACTCATGGCCGTGGCCATGGCCATGGCCGGGTGAGCAAAGAGGCACCATTTCCGGCGGAAATGGAGAAACCATGATGCAGCCGCCAAGGCAGGGTGAGGCAGGGTGATGGGTGAATGATGGGTAGACCTGGGTGGCCAATGGAGCGCTTGACTCGTGGATAGTTTGCCACAATTGCATCAATGGTGGTGCGTGGGCGGTGTGTTCAGAGGTGTGTGGTAAACTGAGCTCAACATCCTGGCACACCTGCCCACCCAGAAGATCCCCGCGGGGTAGTTTTGAAAGACAAACTCAGCCAGCATCACATTGTTTCTCATTTAAGGGTGGTCTTTGGATTTCTTATTCCAACAACCTCTAACAAAAAGTTGAAAGACACTCCATTGACAGCTAGTAGGTGTATTTCACACTGGAAAGAAACTCTCAATCTAGAAAATTTAAACAGATGAATATTGCTACTAACTTTGACTTTTTAATAGTTTACCTATCACTCTTAGAAGGTTATGTCACTAGCAATGGCACTCTCTGAGATGCTAAGATGTGCCCTTGACTTCTATAATGCTGGCTGGCTGCTTCTTCTGGTTGTTGTCAGCATAACCACACCACCTTTACTTCACAATTTAAAGCATCTCTCTTGAACAACACACTCACCAGTGCCTGTGTCTGTCAACTACTTTCCTACATGATTATGCAACAACATATGTGGTTTTTGTTTTCACATTGACAAGACATCCTACATGCTCCCTGAGGAAGATGCAAAGAGAGGGCTTAAGAAGCTTGTTGAAGCAGGCATGAAAAAGCTTAATGTTGCTGGGGGGGAGTCATTTCTGCATCCAGTTTTCCTTGACCACATTTGCCAATACATCAAGGAAACTCTTCATCTGGAATCCATATCAATTGTCACCAACAGCAGCAAAGTCACCAAGAAGTGGCTGCAGAAGTACAGAAGGTTCATCAATATTATAGCAGTTTCCTCCAACTTCTTTGACAAACAGACAAATATTGAGATCAGACATGGAAGTGGTGACAATGTTCAGCAACTTTGCTGCATAAAGGAGTGGTGCCAGTGCTATGATGTTAAATTTAAGATGAACACTGTTGTTTGCAGCCTCAATTGGCAAGAGAATATGTCTAAGATGATTGAAGAGCTGGACCCATTTCAGTGGAAATGTTTTCAGGTTCTGCTGGTTGGTGGGGAAAATGATAAAAAGAGTGCAAAAGGGCAAGGCAAGCTGTTTGCTAAGTTTGCTATCACAAATGAGCAGTTTGAATCATTCTGTCACAGGCACAGGCACCTTGAAGATCAATTCATCCCAGAGTCCAATGCCGTGATGGCAAAAAGCTATCTGCTTCTGGATGAGTATATGAGGTTCATGGATAAAGGCAATGGTGTTGAAAAAACATCAGAGTCCATTTTGAAGGTGACTGTAACAGAAGCCCTGTCACAAGTCAAGTGGGATGTGGAAAGTTTCAAAAGACGTGGTGGAATATATGACTGGCAAAGAGTGCCACAATCTGGGGGAAATTGTGGAACAGTGGAAACAGAGCTTGATTGGTAGTTGTATCTTGAATGTAGGATTGGTATCTGGCTTGCATAACTGGAGCTTGTTTGGGGAAGAGAGTAGTCATCACATTTTCTAGTTGATTGATCTGTGGTTGGCCACACATATTATCTTCTGTATCTTGTCTAGTTATCCAATGGGAATTGAATCCAGTGCTGAAACTTCATTCACTACATAACCCAAATCCACCTACTCACAAAGCCTTCGGCCGTGCTCATGGAACATATGGGCCTTGAACTCCATAACATTACTGGAATGAACACAACTCCATGCTTCCAGCATATCCCACACTCCTTCCTACCAGACACATACACCTTTAGCTTGTGCTGGTGGACATGTTTTTCAACATGGTTCCAGAATGTATTGTTATCCTTCCAAGGCTGTTTCCTTGTGGCCATGGGCAGTGAGGCATCACAAACACAGAATGGACACTCCAGTTTTTCAAGCTTCCAGGGAACAACAAAGGATACCTCAGGGCCTGGAGATTGGGGTGCAACATCTGGTTCATCTGATTTGACTGCAACTGTGCACTGCCATTTGTGCTGGCCTTGGGAGGGGGGCTCCTTCCGGCCCTGAAGGTGTACCCACAGTATGATGGACGCGCAGCACTGCTGGAAGATCTCTTCATCTGTCAACTCTGACTGGCTTCTGCACACCAGCTCCACAATATATCTCCGCTCCTTAATCTGCAGTGTTGGAGGTGGTGGTGGAGTGAGCTCAGCAGGGTCTTCATTGTCACCACTGTGAATTCAGCAGTTGAAGCACTCTGTGTCAGCATGGTGAAAATGCTGTTTTCTGCTTTTTCCACAGTAATGATTCCACAGATACACTTTGGCACTGTTCAGCTGTGTCTGAATCTTCATCTTCTCCTGGTAGAGAGGCATTCCGGCCGCTGCTGCCACAGAGCTGTAGCCCATCACCCAGATCTAGGCAGTCAGCTTGGTGTTCCTTTCAGAAAGGCTCTTCACTTGCTGCAATATGCTGTAACTGTTCATCTGTGAAAGTGCAAGGCGGAGGAGGAATAATCTTGTTAGAGCTATCGACACTATGGGCACCACAAGATCAGCATCAAGGCCCAGTGAATATGCCATGACCTGAACAGCTTCTCTGGGTGGAAGCTCCATTGCGATCACCTCAATGTCAGCATGCACAACATTATCCAGGTAATACTTGACTGCATTGGAGTCATGGTCAGCAACCTGGTCCCAGACCAACACCAGTACTTTGTCTATGAGTGGAAGTTGTGAGTAAGAAGCAAGATCCACAGACCCCGCAAGGAGGAATGTGTAAAGCAACAGGCAAGACCAGAACTTACTGTTGATCTTATTAATGAAGGTCTGTTGAAACACATACTGTTCAAGAGGGCAGATCAGCCCAATAATTATTCCTATGTGGTTGAGGTTGCGGGCCCATGTTGTGCCTTTGAGAGGAATCCACTCTGAAGTACAGTACCCACTATTGGTGTGTTCAGGCTCACGGAAGACAGGAACATCCAGCTTGTCTCATGCAATCTTGACAGCCATGGAGATCTGGTGTGATGGGATTGGGTGCCAGTATATGTCCTCAAGACATGTGAAGTCCGCCGCGAAGGCACCATCATGGAGCACCATCACAACAAAATGCCCAAGGAGATCGAATATTGGTTCAGGGTTGTGCACAATGACAAATGTCTTCCTGTAGAGCCTGTTAGCTGTTGGGGTACAACTAGATGGGGTCTAACCTCATACATTCATCACTTCTTATCCTCACCTTTGGTGTGGATCAGTGTCACCTTGGCCAGCAGGGTGTTTGATTGTCCTGGTGCTTCCACACAGACAATGTGGAAGGGGATATGGCGCCACAGGCATGTATCCTTCTTTTTATCCCCCGCGTGGTATCCGTCGTTGGTAACAAGAGATTCATCGTCCCCACTAAGATTGCGGGGATTGAATGAGTTCTCATGAGTCCCATCACTGTCTAGAACAGACATCATCCTCAGCACTGTAAACATTAATGAGGGTGCCGCTGTCACTGTCCAGCACAGACATGTTGTCATCCCCAGCACTGTAAACATCAACAAAGGTCTCAGAACTTGCCTCACTCTGATAGGCTGTATCTGTCTCCATATCACCCTCTGAGGTGCTGATCTCTGCCTCTTCAAGAGAATCATATGTGTGCTTCTTCCCCTTCAGTGGATGCGACCGGTCACTGTCAGACTGTGCCATCCAGGACTCTACCTTTGCGCGTCCACCTTGATATTCGCTGGCAAGCTTGGCCTTGAGGGGTTCAGACAGGGTGCCCCTTTCGCCTGCAGAACTTCTGCCGGCGGCATTGGTGACCACTGAGATCTCTTCATTGTCTTCATCCAGCAGCCACAATTCCCCTTCAGCCGATGGTTTTGCCCTGGCCTTGGTTTCAAAAAGGGAGACTAACCGCGAGCCAGATATGTAGGACAGAAGGAGGCCTGCTGAGTTCTGCAACCACTGTTGCTCATCAGCATACACCTTCATGCACAACTCCCAATTGGCACGCAAAAACTGGTAGATGTCATCTTTGCCACCACTTGCATTCCTAGCCTCAAGGGGATCTCTTCTGACCCCCCACTTCTCTTCCCATCTGTCAATCATGGCCCAAGTGTACTGCTGCCATTAGCCATGTATGGCAACCCAACAGGGTGAGTGGTACTTACATTGATGCAATCTTTTGTGGTTGCATCATCAATAGCATTGCCCTTGTGCTTGACCTCATAGAACATTTTTAGCCGACGCCAGTAGACCCAGATTGTCTTGTCAGATTTGATACAGTGCTTGTGGGTAGCCTTGAGCCAGTCAAGCCACAACTTGTACATGCTGGCACTGAGCTTCTTGATGTACTGATGAGGGCTTATCTTGAGTCTCTCTGGGCAGAAGCTGGGTGTCTGTGGTCAGCACCTGCCATTGTTGGCCAGAGGATGGGATTCTGCTCACATCATCAGCTTCCTCCAGATCATCCATGCACCATGCTTGGTGTTTTTGGCATGCTTTGGTTTGGTTCAGCCTGCGGCCTCATGCTCCTTCACTCATTGTATGAAATCAATGTCTGTTGGCGCCAGTCTCAGGGGACGGCCACGGCCACGGCGTGCGCTGGCGGCCGCCTGCCTCCCTTTTGATTTCATGACCGCCTTGGGGAGTTCCAGCAACTGTCGGTCACCGACCCTGGGCAACAGCACCAAATGGGGAAATAGGGAGAGGATAGGAGAGGGATGCTTGCGGGAGGGTTCCTCGCTGCAGGCGGAGAGGTAAAGTGAGGCCTCGCCGCTGGCGTGCAGGGGAAGAGACGGGAGACATGGTCTTTATAGGCAGAGGCACCGCAACTTCAGGGCGAGCCAGCGCTGGGAGGACAGAGAGAAGTGGGCGGTTCCATGACGACCGCTCATCATGAGTGTCGCGCGAGGTGACTGTAAGCGTCGCGCGAGGCACTGTATTTTTCAGGCCAGCTTCAGGTGGCTTCACCCGGCCGTGGTGGTGCCTGAAGGGCTCCCCTGCCAAGTCCCGTTCTGCTTAGAGCGGCGTGTAGCTACATCCGGATTGGGGTGCCTGGTGCGTGCGCGATACGGACTCAATACCGTCGCGGCGGCCAAAAGCGGCGCTGGGACCCGTCCAGAAACGGCCGTCGATACGCTCAAAGGCGGATTTTTCATGTAATTACAGGAATCGAATTGTGAGTGCATAATCTCACCGACCTGACCGTGTTTGGCCTGCGCGATGGATGCTATCTCGATGAGAACGCAGAGAAAGTTGGCCTTGGATATGTCTTCTGTTGAACCATGATCAGCGATAGCAGTACATTCGTATCCCATGTGTGTCGCTGGAGTCAGCCATTGGGCCCTTTAGATCAGATGTGTGAATCAAGAACAAATTTTAACCTTGTGTGTTGATTTTGAATGGGGGATGTGTGTAACGATAGGCAATGGGGAATTCAAGATCGCAGACCTGGCAATTTGAACAATGGGTCACAGAAGAAACCAAGATAGCCGTACAATATGTGTCCACGATGGTTTATACATGTTGAATAATAATTGGCTGATGCAACCGGATGTCGGCTTGGACAATGAAGGAGCAACAATTCTTTGGCCTTGTATTTTACAGAAAATCTATGAAGTAGTTTATAATTTTGTAAATAAATATATTTTGTATCATGAAGATAAGGCTTGTCATCAGATAATAGATGTCTGAAAGCCAGTCATAATAATAATTCCCCTAGGCACTTGCACTCCCCAGTTTTATATAGGTGGCATCAAAGATAAATAATCACAGTACTGGGCAAGTCTCTTCCATATGAGACAATAATATCACTCTGCGATATCACATTGAGAGCTTCCTGTCTGAAGTGCCAAGTATATGCAATCAGGCAGTCACAAAGCTAATAGTGGTATAAATTTGCTTTTTGAAACTAGGTAGACGGATTTAAGAGAAAGAGGTCAAGGACATAACGCAATCTAAATATCAGCTCTTTGTCGTAAATGAGATGGGGCACTCGGCGTTCTGTTGGTCGGAGCTAAGCTCTCCATTGACGATGAGACCTCTAGAGCACTATGTCGAAGGCTGTTTCGTGGTATGTATGTCTTCAACGGAATACTCGGGGTATTCCCTGTTGGTCGCTGACCCGAGCTCTGACCAGAGCCTTTCTGTGAATAGTAGGCACCGGTAGCTCTGGAAGTCTTACGGAGGAAGCGGAACGTGGGAAGGCAGCCAACGATTATAGCTACAGGTAACAAAATGAGACTTAGTACGAAAAAGGCCCTCTGTAAAATCATGGGGAAATGGGGATATGAGGTTCATCATCGATCACTTACCAGTGGTCGCTTCTACCGTACCCCAAAGAGCGACCCATTGGACATTCGGATTCGTGATTCCCGTCTTGGAGTTGATTTGAACTAGACGAATTATCGCCGTTATCATGCACAAGATGGCAACGGAGAACATCGCGCAGACTGCGATTTTGCGTTGTCTGGAAATATGTAGTCCCCAGATAAGCCGTAATGGCAGAATCGTAACTGCAGAAAACCCGATCAGCGTTTAATTCGGCAAATTCAAGCATTACAGAGAACACTCACTCAGTATATCAGTGGACAAATCAGCGGCGAATCCACCGAACAAGCTGATGTTGCGCGTCAAACTCTCGTGTGGCTTGGTACAATATCCTATCTGTTGTAAGCGGATCTCTCTTCGAAATCGTGTAACATGGGAGCCAGGGTCGACGAACGGTTGAGCGTCTTGCTAATCTGGGAAGGCCCGCCGCATGCCATTAAGGCCATGAGAAAAGAGAAAATATAGGTAACTATTGTATAGGCAAAAACCACCCCCCACAAGATCAACTCGTTCGGTAGTCCCTTCATCAACTGGCGGAAGAAGAAAAGGAGTGAGATTTTTATGCACCAGAGGGCGGAAAAGAAGATGATGGTTGATACAATCGTCAAAAGGACAGCCGAGTGCCTTTCCTCGAGTATGGCCGGATACGGGTCCATTAGTCCATTGGCAACATATCCCAGACGATATATCATCGGCAGGATCTGGAGAAGAAGAATCTCATGTGCAAGGAAAAAGAGATATCCTGCCACGATAAAGATGACTTCGGTCTCCTTGAGTCTTCCATGTCTCCATCGAAGGTATGCGGTTGGAATGAGTATAACCGAGCCCAGGACTGTCAGGAAGATAACAAGAATGTTGAGGGTTCGTTCAGCAATGAAAATTTCAGTAGTCGCTTCGAGTGTTGGTAGCGATTCATCCATTCTCGAGCGTAACCGAAAATAATATCTGAACAAATTATGCATTTCAACTCGTCGACAGTCACCGGCTCGTAGAAAGAATACATATATTCAACGGGCGAAGCATCATCCCTTTTCTTCACCAAATCATGGCATTGCGCTTGAAAAGTATGCCGTGCAGTGGCTGAAATTGAATTCTCCAAAGGAGAATGTCTTTTTCTGGATGGAAAAACCTTCTCCGTATCTCCTATGCGTTTGAAAGATTTGGCAGCAATTCGAGCTTTGATCTCCATACGCCACATGGGCTTTGACGTCCAACACGGAATGGAGAGCATCACCGATCTATCTCCATCGAAGCTAGAACTGGCTGTTGGCCTCTCGGCACGCTGATGACAGGGATTACGGTCCATGAAGAGGGGCGGGCACGAGACTAGCATGAGGTTATGAACCTTCTTTTTGATGCGAGTACCCCGAGTCAATGGCTGGGATAGGTTTCGTCTCCACTCCGAGACCAACAAGACTGAGGTTGTGGGGGGGAAGGTCAATGCTGGACTCTCGAATGGAGTTTGAGAAACTTCGCACTCGCAAGCCTGATCCATCTCCACCTCATGAGAAGGCTGAAGGCCCGGAGTTACTTCTCCGATTGAAATACTGACGAGGAGACCTTCAGGAAGCATAAATTTCCTTTTTGGAAATTTTGAAAGGGAGCTGACCCAAAAAGGTTTGTTCTCACAACCTCGTCAATTAACTTCGCTCCAGTGAACGGGTGAACTAACTGGGCTTGATCAGCCTGGTTGGCTGGCGAGATATTCCACTAACTTAGCTCGTTTGCCTCATCAACTCAAAATTCATCATCGCCTGCCAAACAGGGATAACTTTCCCTTTGTCAGCCCGGTCCGCTTTGCACCAAAGATGACAACGATGCAGCTGGGTCCAGAAAACCAGTGCTGGGTTTGACGAGTGCCTGGGGATCTCCACAGTCCAAGCTCAGACATTTTCATGCCTGTGATGTTTGAAGGGCGCAGGCATGGGTGATAAAAATTCCCATTACTTTGGATTGACTGAGTTATTCAAGCTGTCTCGGGCCATCCCTGCAGCCACTTTGAGAAGGCCACGGAAGGGAGACCGAGCGTGCTCTTGGAAGATGGAATGTAACTCTATCGATGCTTCCGTCATAATATACCAACTAATTTCTCAGCCGCGAAACGAATCCTTCAGGCTTCGTCCAGCCTGAAAATTATGGTAGTCTTCACCAGCTTCAGATATATATCTGCCTGATGTGCAAAACCATCTTGAATAGTCCGCATTTATGGATGTACGGAGTAGATCGGTTCATGCATGGAAAGTATCTACCAGCGAAATGTTGTCGACTCGACAGTGCCGAGAATTTCTGTTTAGCTTCTTTTCGTGTCAGAAATGACCTCCTGATGATGAAGATCATGATTTATGAGGCCTTCGTACATGAGAAATGAGATTCACTCGTCGCATCAAGAAAAGTTCCCACCTCTGTGCCAGCAAAAGGGGCACAAGGAGAGATGATGAATAATTACGCTTCGGCTGAGGATGGAACAGCCTCGAAGGGTGCAACAAAGGGTACCCTGAAATCTAAAAATGGAACACCCAGCTTCACGAACTCCCTCTCCCTTTCCGGATGAGCTTGTAATCACTTGCCATTCACATTGGCAAGTTCAACTTTCAAGATCTCTTCAGTCTCTAAATATCTCGTGGCGACCTATTCCTTCACCCGCCATCACATCTTCGTCGAAACACCAAACACGAACCACGTCGGAAAGGCCGATTCCATAAATGAAGGTGTCACCGAAACAATAACAGGGGTATTGGGAGTTGCCGCCGAAAACTCCGCTTGCAAGGTTTATTCCGGGAGCCTGAATGGCTTCTCCACGGCGATAGTCCAGAACAATGGCTGAAGAATCTGTGTCGCCTTCGGCTAAATAGTATACCAGACCTTCAGACATTACCGTCGCAAGGCACCGTTTATCCATCTCGCCACAAGGTATTTCCGGATAAAACCTAGCAACTGGTCTGTTCAGGATGTTGCTATATGAGATAAATGTGATGAATCCCCCGACAGCTAAGGGCTGGGCATCGTCTTTCTTATCGTGGGATATCGTCGTGCTAAGCCGAAAACAACAACTCTTGATGTTATTGAGACATGAATGAAGGCGTAAATCGACGGACATCACGGAGTTTGGAAGGGGAAAGGAGAAGGAACGCTGATCACTGCGGCTATTCCGATCAATGGAATAAGTTACGCCAACTATCTGTGAAATGTGGTCACCATGACGGTATACCAGATTCTCGTGAGCATCCTCAAGACGCATCACGGTCAAGGTTTTCCCTTTTGCATCGAGAAATATATGGAAGGGTTCTGCGCCAATATAAATTTGCCGAGACGTTTCGGTTTGTAAGTCCCAAACGATTATGGATTGGCTACCAGCTAGATAAACGGCAATAGTGTCTTCGTCGACAAGGAAATTATGTCTTATATAACCAAGCGAGACTTTATAGTTGGCAGAAGGCAAGCGTAGCATGCCCTCTTTGCCCGACTTATGGTTCCATACCTGGCAAGAGCTGCAAGTGGGATAGGTTAGCTTGCATGTGGGTTGAGACACAATAAGAGACAAAGGGATTAATACCCATGAGAAGTGAGGGCAGCTATGATCCTACTGGACACCCGAACGCACACAACAACATGACGGTTTGCTGTATTAAAGTATCTAGCACGCCCGCTTCGTAGGCAGAGTAAAAGGATCACTTGATTCTTAGCCCATGCTATCATTCCGTCAGAGTAAGATATGGTATTGTCGTTGCATTGCGACCAGTCACTGGATATATCACTGTAGAGAGCTTCTCCTGCTGGCCTGCCTGTCCTCAAAGCCAACTGACATTTTGCATATCTCGAATAACTCTGTTTCCATTCAGCAGCACTTGTATTGAGGATCTGGTGGGAATTAAAAGATCGGAAACTGCTAGCGCAAATTGCTGGTGTTGAAAACAATTCATTCCATCGCCTTGAGACCTAATTTGTAGGGAATCAGGGTTACTGGATGGCACCAATATTATCCTGCAGCAGCTTGTGCTCTCATACCTGACGTAACCTAAATGTTTCCGAAGGTTCGAGATAACCCGCAACGCGTGCAGTCAGTTCCAAAGGCAGGTTTTCAAGAACATCAAAGTGAAATCGGTTGAAAATCAAATCCCACACTTCATGGCATTCGGCATGGCTGAATTCAGCCACTAAAGTACGGCATCTGCAGAAGATTAGCACCGTACTCTGGGGTAACTTCGACTCCAGACAGAGCAGGCATGTGTGAAAATTCTCTGCTGCGAGAGACTTTCACAACCCGAAAAAGGGGTGTTGTGCATACACATTTCTGCGCGCTTCGGCAGTCAATGCTCGAAAGGCGTCAATCACATCCACGGAACTCGAAGGATATTGATCCATTGTACCACCTTTGCGCCAACCAACCCGTGGTGTTAGACGCCGTTGCGACACAAGGACTCGTCTGGGAGGTTACACGAAATGTGCGGAACACATTCCTCCCGGTAAGTCAATCAACAGCCGGTTCCCCGGGTGCCTTCGTGAAGCTGGCTGCGGTAGAAAAAAAGGAATAGAGGCACCACCTGCCGAAAACAAAGACCAGATGGAGGCTTCAACAAAGCAAAAATGCACGAAGAGGATAAGTCACCAGATGTGTGACCATGAAGTTGTGTCTATGCAGGCTCAATATGACATGCAATGAGATGGGGACGGGTGATCGCATGACCACCATTCCACCGTCAGAAGCATTAACAACCACTGAGCAAGCTTGAGACAGTTTGGCAATTTCAAGGAATTGCCACTTAGCACTTCCAAGGTTTAGCAGAATGCTTCAATGACTCCCCATTCCACTTGCATTGTCTGCTGTTCAACCCTATAACAAAACATATACAAACAACAGATTGCTGATTCAATGAAGGAGAGGCGGCCAAAGTTTCAAAAGGTTGTATTTCTGTCCGTTTGGCTGAAATTTCATCACAGTACAGTACGGAGTACAGAGTAGCTAGTGATTTTGCTTGGGGGGCTGAGTGGATGTTAGGAAAACTGGCGCGCCTATCAAGGCCCTTTAACTTCGGGGGCTTCCACCAGAACCACACTCAACGGTCTCCTCCTAAAATGACTCTGAAATTTACCTCGGTGCTAAAATGTCGCCAAGCTTACTAGCGTTTTCCGGCTGCTTGATCAACTGACAGTTCAATTCTCTTCGGGTGTAGCCTGAACTACGCCTTTTGACCATCTCACTTGATAGCTGTGTTGCCGCTCCCTATCATCTCTCTCTGTTGAACCTGAGGAGGGTGATATAGTAAATATTTTTTTTTTTATTTTGTTGGTTTAAGACGGACCCGGCAAGGCCGGAAGTTTAAAGCCGACATTTCTAGGGAGTTCCGTGAATCTGTGTCTCGAAACCAAGCTGAGCCCACACGGATACCCGCGTGATCCCCTTACGTTGACGAGACGGTTGAGGCCAATGAAAGAAAAGGTATTTTGAATGTGTGCTTCATATAGTACAGTACGGAATACATACAATGGCCTTTGGCCCGAAGGACACAGTGATGAGAAGACTGTCAATTCGCTGACCGGGGAGAAAAGCATGTGGCGCGTCAGAACTGGCTGGAATGCGCAGATCAGGATTCAACATCACCTCCTTTCTTCTGACCTGCCGCTCTCGATCCATTTATATTCTAACGCACAAGTCTCTCTATCCCCTGAGATCGAACGGAAGTTTCAAATATTTATAAATTGGCTTGATGACTTGTCTCGAACCAAATGCTCCTTGGTCCTCGGATTAACCTCACCTATTCCATGAGCCCCCACGGCAACCTTGGTTCGTCAAGTCCCCTTTCCTCCATTTGGCCGAGCTTTGGTGGACCGATGTCCAGACCTAGTTTATAGTGTCGAAGAACGTTCCACGGGCATTCCATATCAGGTACAGCTCTTGCTCCGCGGCATAAGGTTATCTACTAGGGCGCATCATCGCAATGGGTTTAACTACGTATCTTTAAATCTCCCCCAATTTCGGTTGATCCTTCGATCTGGATGGTGTGTTTCAACAGCAAGTGTTATGTGGAGATACTATGTTGTGTTTGAACTCATGCCCCTGTCATCAATTCTCGAACACAGGCATATGTAGAAGTGTTTTATTGTTGATCGAGTGGAAGGTTGGTGGCGGAGGGGCAACCATTATCCTTGCTCGCCTCCATGCAAAGTAGAGAGCTGAGAGTAACTATGAGAGCCTGGAGGATGGAAAGTTTGGGCAGCTGAAATAACTAGGTACCACCGTCCCTTCTAAGTTTATAGAAACCCAATACAGGACACTCTACAGAGTATGTGATTCTAATTTTAAGGAGAGCGGGGTGACCTTGCGTAAAGGAGGGGGGGGGCGCAATGCGGTTGAAGAGAAGAGAAGAGGAGTGGGAAAACGAGGTTCAACATGACATGCAGGTCGCAAGGGATCTCCCCACAACCATGCATGTCCTGCAGCAATGGTGGATGGAGATGTGCTTCGTGTGCCATCTTGGTGACCCTCGGGATCGCCTTTGACAGGGACCTGTTGCAGTCCTAAAAACAACAGGTCGTCCAGTAAGCACTATTAAAATCAAGCAGGCAGCGAGGAAGGTTACAGATCTTCCCGTCTCCGCTAGTCACTCGTTAGTTGGCTGCTCGGCTTCGACTTCGACAGCTCCCAAGCGACTAACCGCCATCTCTCCTCGCCCTCGAGCACGACAAAGCTTCAGGATTCCTGCAACCTTCAGCCTGAAAGAAGAATACTTCTTGGTGTATGGGTTATTCGGTAACCATGTGAGTTGACTTCTGCTCCCGACGCCCCAGGTATTCCCTTTTTTTCCTTTCTTTTTCTTTTTCCCTCTTTTGCAATTCCAGAAATAGCTTCCGCAGCATTCGCTCAGCCTTCCATCTGCCCTTGTAAAAAGTCAAGGTGCTTTCACCTCCAATCAGGGATGTGTGCTGCAGCTTGCCCTTTTCGAGAATGCGTCCGAGGACAAAGGACCGTCGGAAACGAGTATAGTGAAGCACCTTTGTCGCCGTCGGTCGATAGTCCTTCTGCAGGTCCTAGCGAACTTACTTCCCGGGGATCTCCACTCAAACTCACCTGTTCGCCTGCACACCCGCTCTCCAACCCCGGCGCGCGCCCTCATTCGCCTTGCTTTTTATTTGAATTTTTGAATTTTTATTTTCTTTTCCCCCCTCTGACTGTCGCTCCTTGCGCTTCCTCGCCTTCGAGGAGCAAAAGCCCAGAAACTTGCTTGTCGCCTGGAGTCGCATTTTCATCGTGTCACGTTGTTTTGGCAACAGAGGACTTTCTTCCCCTCCACAAGTCACTTTTCCTTGTCTCCTCCTCAGTGGCTGTCCTCGAGCAACGTCATTGTTATTATTAACGTGATCTTACAGCATACAACCACTCTCTACGCGACTCGCGCCGCTCCACACTGTCGTTATCGCGATTGTTTGTGGTTGATTGTCACCTCTTCCCACGGTTAGCCTGAAGGTTTCCAACTGGTCGGTTGGTGAACTAATTCCATCCCGGACCGGATTCGCCTGCCATCTCGAGTCCTCCCTCTGCCGCCTCGATTCGAGAGCTTGACAGTCCAAATATGGCCACGGCTCCGGCTCTTACACGCGGTTGAATGCCAATGTACCGATTATTCCTCGCCTACGGAGCAGTTATCCCAGCGTTTTGTGGGTCCAGCTTTCCCCAGTGCCACATCCCCACCCGAGCGGGCGCAACAATCCAGTCTTCCGCAACCGTGCAGTGTGCATGGTGAATATCGCCATCGAGGCCGCTGCGGTTGTCTTGAGCGTGGTTTCATCGCTGTCGGTTGCTGTAATTGACTAGAAGTGAATTTGAATTTTTCTTCGGTTCCCTTTTCTCCCCGTGCGGCTTGCTTTCCAGCGGTCTGCTCCTCTCCCGTCCTCCGTTACCGCCATTCTACATCGCTGCGATGAGTCGAGTCCTCGAACCCCCATCAAGAAATCCTTTCACAAGGCCAGTGGAGATGTCGACCGAACCCAGAACCATCCCCGTCCTCTCTGCCTCTATCTCGCCCTCCGACCCTTCCCCAGGTGATCCTATGGACGTCAGCCCGCCCGCTTCCGCTGCAATGGGCCCGCCGTCGCAAAGCAGCCCTGAAATTGAGCAAGCGCCGACCAATCATACCAATGGGAATATAGCAGAATCAAATGCATCCCAAAACAATGCCTCTGGACAACCCACTGGTGCTGCAGCTGCGGCACAGCAGCCCAAAGTGGTACAAACGGCATTCATACACAAGCTTTACAGGTAGGACGCGCACTCACACTGCTGGAGCCGTTTGTTTTCGAATTTCTCTAACACGAATCTGGCAGCATGCTGCAAGATCCGAGCATTCAGCATTTAATATCCTGGTCGAGCTCAAACGAGAGCTTTGTCATGTCCCCATCGTCGGACTTTTCAAAGGTTCTCTCGTACGTCGCCCAGCACACTTCTCTCGGAGGATCATGTTGACTCATTTGCACCAGACAATATTTCAAGCACACGAATATTTCCTCGTTTGTTAGACAATTGAACATGTACGGGTTTCACAAAGGTAAAGTCACCATCACATTTCTCGGAGAGTCTTTGCTAACTTGCCCGCCAAGTGAGCGATGTTTTCCATACCGGTTCGCCCGATTCGCCGATGTGGGAGTTTCGACATGGAAATGGAAGTTTTAGAAAAGGAGACTTGTCAGGCTTGCGCGAAATCAAAAGGCGCGCGTCAAGACATGCATTGATCCATCGCGATTCGTTCTCAGCGCATAAGAACAACAACGCCTCTCAACCAGGCACCCCTGCAGAGACCGTCCCAGAGGTTCCCGACCGAGTTGTCAATCTCGAACATTCCCTCTATGAAGTGCACTCGCGACTAACTCGTATGGAAGATCAGCACAGTCTACTGAGCTCAAGATGCCAAGCACTCACAGAGAGTTTAATCCGTTGTCATCAGGTATGTATTCCGTATGCATCCAATTGGGTTTCGGCAATAAACATTAAGTTGTATCATTAGTGGATAAACTTGATGTCTCGCTTTATCACATCACTGGTTCCAGATGCAGATAACCCCATTCACCGAGAAGGTAAGTCTGGTTGTGTTGCAATCGACGAAGATCCATTCTAATTCTGTCAAAAAGCCGCCAATATGCAACGAGAAGTTGCCAGACAGCTTGAACTTGCGCGTGCACCCGAATCGCCGAATGATGTGCTCATGCCGGGACGACAGCCTTATTTCCAAAACTTGACCGTTGATACCGGCCCTCCGCTATCTCCCCGCCAAGTTGCTGAAGACTCTCGAAGAGCCTCTCTTGCTCGCCCACCAATACCGCCCCATATCTCTATCTCCCCGCATCGATATGGGTCTATTGGTGGCGCGAGTAATTCTGCTAGTTATACTAGGCCGCAAGTCTCACCGCACCCGTCGGGACCACACCCTCTGTCTGTCTCCTCACCACCCGGCGCAAATATGGGTAGACGTCATACTTCAGCCGATATTCGGCAGCATGGCTGGCCAACTCCCGGGCCTTCGCCATTTTCCGCTGGTGCAACGTCCTTTCAGTGGCCATCGTCACCTCAACGAGCACCCAATGCAGCTGATCAACAGGTCCGCGATGTGCTCGCCAAATATGAAATGGGGAAACCACGACAACAGCCAGGTACTCCAAGACACGCGACGCCACCGCTATCACTAGACCCCGCCCAGCCTTCGGAAGGTGGATGGCCGACTGGAGGTTCCAAATTTCTCCGTCCTACAGAGTCCCTTCCAGCAACGAGACGATCAAGTATGGCTAGCAACGTGCATTCTCTCCTCAACCCAGCGGAGACTAGAGAACGTGCAGAGGAAGAGGATGCTGCAACATGCGAGGATCGGAAACGCCAGCGACTTCAGTGATTGATACTCTTCACCAAATGAATTATCATCTACGGTGCTTTTTCTAATCGCACCAGTCGAGCCACCTGCTATTTGGAAAATGCGAATTATATCTCAATATAGTCGCATGCCAACCAGCTCTGTCCCATGAAACTATGACTTGATTATTCAAGTATGCTTTAGCTCTGCAAAAGCCGCTTTCAATGGCCTGACCTCTTGGCCTCTTTTCATTCACTAGTGCAGGGTTCATAAGCCATGTTTGAATACCCTACATCTGGCTTTCGTCGCATGTTTTCATGCTGTACTTGTGTGTGGACTAAACCACAAAAACACGCTCGTTCCAACCCTGAATGAAAGGTGAGAAGTGGCCAGTCGCTGTTGCTGACTAACCACAATCTGCTCTTATCCTGCCAAACTGTTAGGGGGTTCCCAACATTGTTTTCTTCTATTTTCATTTCTCAAAATTTCTTGGTCTCCAGTCACCAACAATGTGCCGCCTCGCTATCAGACTTTTTTCCCCTGTAATCATATCAGTTTCCTGTGCCTTACTTTTCCACATCTGATGGCGCTGCCCTGATTGTTTTCACTTCTCACAGATTTCTCACCAAAAAAAAAAAAAAGAAAGGAAAAAAATCATTGGAACTTTTGTCCATGTGTATGTGTTCAAGTTGTGTGAGTCTATTGTGTTGGTGTAGTATTCTTTTGTAATTGAGAGTGGTTCATACCTAGCTATCCCTTCGAATACCTTGTTTCTCTGTCTGCTTATTTCTCCATTGGTGCTGTCCCTTCATTTTGGAGGAGTTGGAGAAACTGACACCACAATGACGTGGCAGTTATGTGAATTTGGACCCCAACATGTGAGGTGTTTGTATTGATCCGACAACTGCATCATTTGTTTCTTTTGTATGTACCACTTAAGGTTTTCATCCAGATGCTTGACTCAATGTTTCTGGTTTGACTCAGCAAAAGAGGACGGAGTTCCAATTGCCAAAAACTTCAGCGCTAAGATCTTAACCTTTGTGCTTTAATATGCATGGCAGATTGTTGATGCTCTTTTTTGTCAAGCCAGGGGCATCTGCCTGGCTGGTGCCCCATATCATCCACGTTTTAGATTGGCGTGGTTTTTGCTGGATGAGTGTACCTATATCATTTCCGGAGCGCATACCCTATAAGATGCTCGAGGAAACAGTGGTTTTCCCATCAACATTGAGTGCTAAGGCTGATATAAGTTGGATACAAAGCTAGGTACATTGGCTATAGCCCAATTTACCAATTCGTCAATGTATTGAAGGTAGGAAGTCCTATCAGCAACTATCGATGAAGGCACTGTCCCAGCGACAAATACCTCTGTAGATATTATTCATAACTAAGAGGCATGAGAACTGTCCTGGCCACTCTAACCTGACTGTTTTGCCCACCCCCGCCCATCCTACCACTACCTCCTCCCTTTAGTGACATCTTATCAGAATGTCTTCACGATATCCCCAAAGAGATAGAGATCAGCCCGCTCTGGGCAAGTTGGACGACACTATTTCAAGTGATGATGACGGCAAGCCATTGATACGTAGACGAAGATCAAGGAGGAAACAGTTGACAACGGGGACACAATCTCTCGCGAGAGAAAGACATCTAAGTGAACAAGAGCCAGAGAACCCGCCCACATAGTGCACTACTGCAAAATCAAGCATGTAAGTAGTCTTAGAGCGACATCTTGTGATGAAACGCGTCATAACTCGATTCGTTCGCGACTAATGTTTAGATAGGCATCCATTTCGCTCAGTTATTGGAGTTCGCATTGGCAGCGCACCAGAAGAATTCTTGATTCATCCGCATTTCCTCATCAAAGAGTCGAAATGGTTTAACACGCGTCTGCAATCTCCCTCGACGAAAACATTGGAGCTCGCGGATGTCCAGCCCGATCTGTTTTGCACCTTCGTCGACTGGCTTTATCGTGATTGCCTCCCGAGTCAGGAAAATGAGGCGGACCCGACTCAATACCAACAACTGATAGAATTGTATTTACTGGGGGATAAAGTGGGCGTCGAGGCCATCAAAAGCAAAATCGAAGCGAAGATTCAAGGCACTGCCTTCAAAGGGCGATTTAAAAATTCCGTCGAGTCTCATTCAACAGGTATACGGATCGGCTGCTCCAGGGTCGAAATTGAGACTCCGGGCGGCGAATATGTACGCTATGGGAGCCATCGCTGGGCCAAAGGAGGATCTGAATCGCGAATTTTTACATGATGTAATTGACGTCCAACGTCAATTGCTTCAAAAGATCGAAGGTAGTTCCGAGAAAGGGCATATCGCTGGAAAGCAGGAGAATAAACGACAGCGACGATTTGGGGAGTTCACACCTCAGGCCAAAGAAACAACCCTGAAGTCCGGCGCAACGATGGCACATATATCCAAACTGAAAAGTTACCCTGGGCTTCTTAACAGCTTTCGCCAGTTGAATGGGAAATAGACGGCTTCGCGCATATGCCTCAGTCACCGCCTCTTTTCGCTTTTTTCTTTTTCGTTCTGGTGGATAGAAGTTCGTCGAGGTAGCTTCCTGCTCTCTTTGTGCCGAACTTCTTCCTTGTTGGCTCAATGTCTCCGTCAGGTTCTACTGTATTGGCGACATTCTTTGAATGCGATGTTTTCTTCTTATTCCGTGTGACCAAGGAAGATCTGCTTTCCTCTTCGGTTTCAGAATCCGAAGTAGGGGACGGAATCGGTTTGTTGGTTCTGTTTTGTTTTGTCTGCTGTCCGCTGGGATTCCGTGATGGAGTGATTGTCTTCGAATTTCTACCCAATAGCTGTTTTCTTAATTTGTCGTTGGAATTGAGCTCCGCGCGGTTGCGACAACCATCAGACTGGCTATTTGGCAATGGAGCACCGAGCCCAAGTCTGATGAACAGGAGAACATATTAGCTATTGAGCGGGCTCCATACAGATGTTAAGTCATTATTTTGTTGACGTACTTTTCCGGCACTGGAGTAAATATCTCGTCTTCCTCTCGCTGTAGCTCTTCCTCCGTCTTTTCATGTGCTATCTCTTCTTGGGTTTTCGGAGGGAGCCAGGATGCGATCAGTCTCTGACTTCGAGCCAATGCAACACTTGCCCGGTTAAAGATGACTTCGGCCTCTGTCGTCGAGCTCGCCATGCCGCCAGAAGATCAATTCACAGCTGGCTCTTTTATCGTAGTTCGTCCGTAGGTCAGGCTCCGGCAGCAATCGCCCTGGCTGCCGATATCTCGCAGGCGTGGATCAGCCCGCCCGATAAGTTTGGGTCGCCGGACTAATGCTTTTGCGTCACTAGTCCCAAGGCGGCTTAGCGCAGTGGCCCTGACAAGATCGGGACGCCTTCCCGAGCACTTCACCCAATTGGGCAACCAGGACGTGTCGCGGGAAAATCTTGGGGTAATCATTCAGACGCAGTTGTCTCATCGTCCTCCGGCCTCTCAATTTTCTTCAACTTCCACAGTTCTTCTCCAGCCCTTCTCTTGGTTTGTGTTATTTAGATTGTCTTTTTCCATCATGTTTAAGCTCGCGCGCAGCAGACCAATTGCTGCGGCCTTCAGGCCTATCGTGGTAAGTACACTGTTGCCGCCTTTCTGTAACATGTCCTCTTTCATGAGATCCCGCTTTGCAAAGACCGCAACGCTGACATCAATCCGCCTCTAGGAAACACCTCTCAGAAGCGCCCTTCAAAGCCAAAAAAGAAACCTCTCCATCCACGAATACCTTTCCGCCAACTTGTTGAAATCTGTTCGTAAACATAGATCCACTCCAGCCCTGTCAGGAGTGGGCTCGACGCTAACAACCACAATAGTACGGAATCGGAGTTCCCAAAGGCGAGGTCGCACGCACTGCGGATGAGGCTGAAGCTGTTGCTAAACAGCTAGGTATGCACTCTCTCAGTTCCTTTTTTTTTAAAAAAAAAAGAAACCCTCCCAGCTCTAATACACTGCGTTAGGTGGGGAGGATGTGGTCATCAAAGCCCAAGTTCTGGCCGGCGGTCGAGGTAAAGGTACTTTCGACAATGGTTTGAAGGGAGGTGTTCGTATCCTCTACTCGTAAGTGGAATCACCTTATCTTCTGTCGTGCACACCCCGTCCTGACGTCCAGCGCAGTCCCACCGAAGCCCGAATGTTTGCAGGTCAAATGATCGGACATAAACTCGTCACTAAACAAACCGGAGCTCGCGGGCGCATCTGCAACGCTGTTTACATTTGCGAGCGCAAATATGCTCGCCGAGAATTTTATCTCGCCGTTCTTATGGACCGCGCTTCTCAATCCCCGGTGATTGTTTCTTCTTCGCAGGGTGGTATGGATATCGAAGCTGTTGCGAAAGAAAATCCAGAGGCTATCACTACCACAAAGATCGATATCAACGTCGGAGTCACCGACGAAATCGCTCGCAAAATCGCCGCCGGCTTAGGCTTCTCGGAGCAATGTCTCGAGGAGGCAAAGGACACTATCCAGAAATTATACAAGGTTTTCATGGAGAGGGATGCTACCCAGATTGAGATCAACCCCCTCGCTGAGACTACAGACTACAGAGTTCTTGCCATGGATGCAAAGCTCAACTTTGACGATAACGCCGAATTCAGACAAAAGGAGGTCTTTTCTTGGAGAGACACCACTCAAGAAGATCCCGACGAGGTCAAGGCGGCTGAGTTTGGATTGAACTTCATTAAGCTGGATGGCGACATTGGCTGCTTGGGTAAGTTGAATTGATTCTATTCGTATACATTCCATATTCTAACCTCGTCAAGTCAACGGGGCCGGTTTGGCCATGGCCACCATGGATATCATCAAGCTCAACGGAGGCAATCCGGCTAATTTCTTGGACGTTGGCGGTGGTGCTACCCCATCCGCCATTAAATCGGCCTTCGAGCTTATCACTAGTGACCCGAAGGTTACTGCCATCTTTGTTAACATCTTCGGAGGTATTGTGCGATGCGACGCCATTGCCCAAGGACTTATCAACGTGGTCCGTGACATGAACCTTCGTACTCCTATCGTCGCCCGTTTACAGGGCACGAACATGGAGAAAGCTCATCAACTGGTAAATGTTTATCTCCTGCAGATTTGACCGGTGGTTGCTAACGTATGCTTTCAGATCAACGATTCGGGACTGAAGATATTCTCCATTGAGGACCTTCAGAATGCGGCCGAAAAGTCGGTCCAGTTCTCAAAGGTTGTCAAGATGGCTCGTGATATTGATGTTGGGGTCGAATTCACGCTTGGTATTTAAGCGCACAGTGGCTAGTTGCTATCTCCTTACTCCCTATCTATACCTCGACACATTTCCAAACGAATCCATGCAACGCCGCAACTGTTTCTCTGTGCTGCTAACTTCTCCTTCGCATTCTGTCAGACGAAGAAGGACCTCAATGGTTGGCGACAGCTGTCGCCCCGGATTCTAGGGGCTATGGTTGAATGGAGATCCTTGCCACAGAGATAAGAGAATTTGTTCTAATAGAGGCAGATTTGGTAGCCAGGGAATATCCACGCAATGGATACTCCAGATTTCCCTTTGCCCAACTTTCCTTCCTCCGTGATATCCGTGATACAAATGGCCGATAATGGCATTCGTTTACCCTGATGTATTTTACTCGTACTTCCCGTCATTTTCCTACTCATTGTATAGGATTTCTTTTTCGACCAGGTAGAGTTTTGGAAAATTGCTCAATATTTTCTTTTTCTATACTCCGAAAATTTATTATTAGGCGCACTTCAGCCATAATTGTACACCTTATGGGTGCCACTTTTCTCTGACACTGCTCATGTTTGCAAAGTCGTCGCTCTATGTTTTCTTCGCCTTTTTCTTTTCCTCCAAGAAGGCCTTCCTCAACTTTCCCAAGTTAAACATCCGACTTAGCGCCCACTGAAATAGTCCTACCCAGGCCCATCCAGCGCTCAGGAACCACACCAAGTTTGCTTTGTTTCCAGCCCAAATCCACTTCTTCCGTCCCGGCCCTCTGCTCCAGGGCCATATCCATCTCCAGGGCGCTGAGCCATACAATATCTGTGTGACAACGGTTTTGGCATAAGCTTCGTTGGGCATAGCGCCGTGTTGGCTGTGGGTGACGCGCCGCGCATAGTCGTTGCGAATGGGCTGGTAGAGGGAGGTGGGTAAGAGGGTTCGTTCAACGCGCGCTATGCGGGATTTTACGCCACCGGTGATGATGGTTGTTACGTGGACGCTGATTAGGATATTAGCTATTTGTATCTGAACCGTGAGATTCATAACGGGGGATGGAGGATCGAGTGGAAATGAATAGGCAATACGAACCCGAGTGGCGCCAATTCTGCTCTCAGAGTGTCACTGAAGGAATGCAGGGCTGCTTTAGAAGCATTGTATACAGAGCCGAAGACATAAGGTATTATCTGCGAATCTTTGGTTACTGCTCTGGCTTCTAGAATATACAAGAACGAACGATGATGAATTCCGTACCCCTGCAAGCGAGCCAATCTGCACGATTGTGCCTTGGGCTTTTATGAGAAGAGGGACAAAAGCCTGGCACATCATTATGACGCCGAAAAAGTTCGTTTCGAAAACCTGTCGCGCCTCATTGATATCCGCATCTAGGGCCGGAACGGTATAATCTGGTTGATGGTTTAACGATATGTAGCGACCAACTGGAGATAGATGTCTACATACTCTGGCCACTGTGACTCGTGATGAATGTCTCGTTAGTATGACACCTGAGCTTCAAAACAAATGATGCCAGACGACAGGGAGCCACTAACGCATTATTGACAAGATAATCCAGTCCCTTATCTGGTCCCAGCAGCGAAGCCACCTCGTCGCGGCAAGCTAGTACGCTTCTCTCCTGGTCGACCTCCAGACTCAACGTCTCAATTCCTCGATCGGTCAAATCTGCGATAGTAGTTTTGTTTCTCGCGGTCGCGAAGACCCTAAGGCCATGCCGCTGGAACTCTAGAGCTAGCGAGTGGCCGATGCCACCGGGCGAACACCTGAAGTCGAAACTAGGTTAGCTTTCTGGCTTTCTCTTGTAAATACGGCCGAACACGAATTTCAGAGCTCACCCGGTGATAAGGACTGATTTGCGGTTGTCCATTGGAGTGCAGCGATGTCCGGTCAATTAGTTAACTGCAGAGTAGCACAATTAAATAGAGGAGATTGCTCCGTCGTTGATCAAAAGCACCGCCCTTGAGCCCTGGCGCGGGCGTTGAACCTCGTGCCTCCTCGGGTGTCAAACTTTCGCCGCCACTGATTCACATGCGCGACCCCAGACCAGACCAGAACCGCCGAGACGCTCTTTCGTAAGTCATAGACTATTCTCCGGTTCGGACGGGACGTAATCGCCGACTTGTTAGATAATCCAGCCGTTTCCGCTGCCGACAGCTGGTCGTCTTCAATCCTGTTTTGTATAGGGATATATCTGGCGGCCGTTGGAACTCAGCAACGGTGTGGAGCGGGTTGACGGGCCCGGATATGAGTTCTGCTCGACGGCTGGCTCCTGTGGATCTCCGCCTTTGCAGAGTTGGAGCTTCAACGGGCTTGGCTTCTGGCGAACCCAACCTTGGTCTCGATCCATCCGCACCAAAAACTTTTTTCCAAATCGATTAACCGGGCGGGCACGGTTTTCGCCTCCTGTACATTTCAATATAGTCAAATGACCGGAGCTACTCAGCATAATTAGATTTGTGCGAGATTCTCCCACGGTCATTCATTCGCCCCAAGGACAACTCTCGATCTCACCCGGACTTTGATGTGCTCCACAATGCCGATGCCCCTGCATCTCCCGCTGAAAGATGAAGAGTTCATGTCAATTACCAAGGCATCTTCGCAGGCCTGGTGATGATGGGTACAGGACACCAACCATTGAAGATGTGGAGGAGGATTCCGCCTCGGCTGTGGCATTGCCGCCAGAGTCGTTCGATACTGAGTTAACGCCAGTGCCAACCGTCATGTCACGATATCGTCGAAGCTATGTCTCTCAGGCTGATGGGCATCATCTTAACGGGGATGAACGAAGGCCTTCCGTGCCGGGCGCAGACCATTCTGTCACAGGCGCTTCCTTAGCCCTCGTTGACAGGGTTCCAACTAAGCTCTCTTGGAAAGAGAGAATGAGGCACTTTACTTGGGCATATTTCACCCTGACCATGGCAACAGGTGGTCTGGCAAACGTGCTCTACAAAGGTGTGTCCTTCCTTCCCTACCGTTGACGGTGCCACAGCCATATGTAGATGTAAGGATCGCTAAAGGTCTTTAGTTCCTTATCGATTTTCTGGTTTGGATACCATCGCCATCATAGTATTCATCACGAATATGGCACTATATGTGATTATATGGGCATTACTACTGCTGCGGTTTTATCTGTTTCCATATACATTCAAAGCGTCATTTCTCCATCCGACAGAGTCCCTGTTTGTTCCTGCGACTATTGTGTCCTTTGGTACCATCCTCATCAACATCGCGCAATATGGACCGTCCCACACGGGAAAGTGGCTCGAGAACGCCGTAGTTATTCTGTTTTGGTTTTATGCAGCCCTGGCTGTGGCAGCATCTTCTGGGATATACCTTGTTCTGTATGCCTTGGATTTTATCGCTATCTATGGTTACACCCAATGCTAATTTTGAGGTAGATGGTCAACGCAGACATTCACCATTGCTCAAATGACCCCTATTTGGATATTTCCTGCCTATCCCATGCTGATCATCGGTACACATGCCGGTACGTTAAGCACAAAGTTGGCCCAGGAGAATGCATGGCGCATCATCATTGGAGGCAACACCATCCAAGGCGTTGGCTTTTTAGTGTCCATGATGGTGTATTCCGCTTTTATCTATCGTCTGATGACGCAAAAGCTGCCCAAAGAAAATTTGAGGCCCGGTATGTTTGTTTCTGTCGGCCCGAGTGCGTTCACCGTCGTAGGTCTTGTTAGCATGGGAAGCAGTGCTCATCGGGCCGTTCCGGAAGGATTTCTGGGAGACGCGGCGCTTAGTGGAAAAATTATTTGCCTCACAGCTTATTTCGCATCCCTCTGGCTTTGGGGGTAGGTTCTTGTTACAACCAGTGCGATATGTCTCTTGCTAATCGCTTTCTACAGGCTCGCGATTTTCTTTTTCTTCATTGCGGTATTCGCTCATACTTCAACCGTCGGAAGCTCGACGATGATATTCTCTATGACTTGGTTTTCCTTTGTGTTCCCGAACACTGCCTTGGTGGCTGCTACATTTGCAATCGGAGAAGCATTCTCAAGCCGCGCTATAAATATTATTGGTTGCGTGATGACCGTCATGCTGTTTTGCACGTATTTCTTTGTCGTTTTTATGATGATTCGAGCGATTAAATTGCGGCACATCTTATGGCCTCAGAAAGGTGAAGACAGAGATGAAGGAGGATTTAGGACCGTCGGCCCTCATGGCCCCTCCAGCTAATCTCGTGTCAATGTGAGGGCGCAAAATCCGGTTTTTATACCTGGAATCTAAGTTACTCTATCTACAAGGCCTTCTAAGTCGATCTACCACGACCATTTGAGGCTTGATGTTCGAACAGGAAACATATGAATATCAAAGGTGAGCATATCTCCGGAGCTGTCCTATCCTGGTTTCAGAGTCATCACTGGTTGGACCATCTTTACAATCATCGAAGGATTAAAACAAAAAATGAAAAAAAATGAAAAAAATTCAGACCACCTGCCGAACCTTTCCCGTCTCTACTTCATACACCCACCCAGTGATAGGAATACCGGGAATCACTAGGGTCTGTTCCTTCAGCCATTTCACATCGGCCTTGACTGCCTCCTCCAAATCCGGGAACGGTTGAAAGTCTAACGCCTCAACTTCCGATTTGACATGAGAACCAAGATTATTTTCCGTGACAGCGCGTGCGGCGTCGTTGGTGAATGTCAGCATTCCACAACCGGTGTGCTTGACGAGGAGAATTTCTTTTGTGTTGAGCAATTGCTGGGAGATGATAATTGAACGCAATGCATCACGGGAGTTAGCGCCTGCGTTTCGGATGACGTGGGCGTCGCCGAGATCAATGCCAAAAGCTGCTGCTGGGTCGATTCGAGCATCCATACATGTCACTGGGGAACTAGGTTAGGTAATCTCGGTATTGCTTGAAAACGGCCTATTCCGGGGTCACCCACGGACAAGGTAATGCTTTGCTGGAGGTAAGGCAAGATGGCCTTTGTCAAACTTCGAGGCATATTCTGCGTTTTTGGCTTGCAGGTTCAGTTGAATTGGTGTTGCCATTTTGTGTTCCGATCCGTCTGATAGATGTCTAAAAGAAGTATATATTGAGTGAATTGAATCGTGCTCTTCGTCTTTTCAAAGGTTTAAGCACCCAGCAGTTGGAAGTTGGAGATATATATATACATGTATATCTACGCATAATATGGCGTATTCTTTCAAAGGAAAGGGCCGGAGTCAAGGTTGATACGTGTTGCCTGAAATGTCGGAGCGGCGTCTCAAACACATGTCATACTTCTCCAGTTCCTGTGAGCTCCGTACTACTCCAAATCGCGTACTCTAGTGCCTCTATGGCCTCAGAGCCCCAACAAGACCGCAATTCCGGGCCTGCAGTTCGCTGACCGGAGAAGAGCTGAAATGACACCATCCTCGCCAGTTCTTCGTGTTTGGGACTAGGCGAGGAGGGATACCCACACGCCGGAATTCATTCATGCGATTTTTGACGGGATTTGCGGAGTGCGCTGCCGTGGTTCACGTTTGGAGGTCGATGGCGGGATCGTTTTTATTCCAGCTGGCGCCCTCCCGTTCCACGCGGAAGGGGTTTCGGGATCGCGAAGTCGTGGTCGTGCCAATTGAGGTCTCCTGGCGTGATTATAAAAAAGATGGACCGCAAATATGGCATAAATAGACCAGCCACCTACATCTATTTTTCTCGGAAGGACCTACGAGGCTACTAACCATATGTGGAAGCTATAGGAACCACAGAATGTGAACTCAATAGATGTGCGTGCCCTTGCTCCCCTCATCCAAAGGATTGTGGGATGAGAAGCAAGACAAAAACTCTGCATTGGATCAAAGAAGATCTGAGTTGCTAAGCTGGAGACTAACTACATAGAGACTAGTGTCTCAACACCACCCCCTAGACTCCAGCAAGTACTGGGAGAAGACAAATTTCTAAATACATAAATCCAACAAATCCAGAATCCAAGCTGATTCAATAACCAAATGAGTGGAATATTTCTTAGTAAATGATAAGCAGAAGTCCAAATTGGAGATTAAGCTTTAAATCTGTTGCTGGTGTAATGTTGTTGTGGGTTATGCCACTTTTATCAGTGTTTGTGTCATTCTAATCAAGCAAGTATAAATGTAGAATCCACATTGTTGAGATTCAATATCTGTAAGAATTCTTTAAATTTTTGTTTTTCAAGTAGTTTTGTCAAGCTGTCTGCTGGATTCTCTGTTTCTGGTATATGATAGAGTTTCACTCTTTTCTCTTTAAGAAGCTTCTTCACAAAGAACCAACACATATCCATCTACCTGGTGGTCAGTGTGTATGTTAGCTTGTGAGCTAGTGCTATAGCATTCACACTATCTGTATATATAGAAATTGGAGCTTTTGCTGAAAGATCAAGATCTTGTAAGAGCTTCTGAATCCAGAGTGCTTTCTTTATAACAGAATCAAGAGCACAAAATTCTGCTACTGTGCTTGACAGTGCAATAATCTTTTGGTGTTTTGAGCTTCATGTGACAGAAGTTCCTATATAAAATAATACATATGCTTCTGCTGAGCATTCTTTCTTGTAGTCTTGGTGACTAGCATCCATATAGACTTGTAATTCTGGGATTCCAGGCTTTGGGATGCCTCTGAGAATTAGATCTAGCATGGGAGATTCTTTCAAATAATACAGTATTCATTTGCTATATTCTAGGTGCTCTAGTATTGGCTTTGTAGCAAATTGTTGAAGTTTGTTGACAGCCAATGTAATATCAGAGCAGCTCTTTATTAAGAGCTAATTAAGAGCTTCAAGAAGCTGTTGCAGCCAGTTCATAATACTTTCAGTAACTACTGAATTAGACTCAAGCTTCTGTGTAAGCTATACTTCTTCTGTCATAGAGGTGATCTGGATTGTTGAGCTACTCATGTAGAATTTGGCAAGAATCTTTTGAACATATAATTCTTGAGAGAGGTAGATTATTCACTTTATATGATCTTGTTCAATTTTGCAACCTAGGAATCTTAATGATTTGCCTAGAGATTTTATAGGGAAGCAGTCAGACAGCTTGTTTTTGAAATCAGTAACAGTTTCTTTTGTAGGAGCAGCAATAAGAGTGTCATCAATGTAGATTATTAGTGTAGTGGGGATTCCGGTACCTCATTAGGACAAAGGTTGTTCCAGTCCAAGGCACAAACCACCCCAAAGCTACTATTCTTGAGCTATATAAACCACCTGTAGCCCCTGCATCTTGCTTATTATCTTCATGCACCATTGCTCTTTTCTACACACTTGTTCCTTACTACTAGTTTGGCTATTAGTTAGAGAATATAAAGATTTCTTGTTTATGAAATGTGCTACTGTTTCTTATTAGAGCTGCCTGTGTTAGTACAGGGCTCTTTAGTACTATTACTCCTTGCAAGCTTAGGCATCTGTTAGAACATATCTATCTCTACACTTACTACTTGACCATACCCTTACTATATGGTGATTTTTTACCTTTCTTGTGCTCTCACCATATCAACCAACTTGCCTACTTTGATAAGGCATCCCATCATACCCCACTCCATTTGGTGACCAAGCTGAGACCTGAAGATGATGATGTGGTGATTTGGTGGCTGCCAAGGAAGAGAAAAACAAATTCTGAGACACATGAAGCAATACACTATTTCAAGATAAGATCTTATGGACTAGGAACACAGTACTAATCAGTTTTTTTTAGAAATAAGGTTAGGGAGCTTAAATTTGAATGCCTCTTATCTAGAGCTTGCCTGATAAACAGGTTTTTGGAAGATATTGACTAATAGACAGAACATACTGTGTGACATGACTAAAGATCAAGAAACCAAGAAATTGGAATCAGAATCAACTATGGCTGAAGATACTACAGAATCATATGCAACTATATCACTGAGTGAGGACAAGAGAATTGTGGTTCATTCCCACATTTCTATGCCTTCCCCTGGCACAGCAAATGCATCTTGGTTTGACAGCAGAGATGCTACCCTGTTTATTGAAAGATTTTATCAGATGTGCAAGGATTATGGGGTAATTGATCCTAAAAACATTATTGAACAGTTGGCTAGGTACTGTGTTACATGGATTGAAGAATGGATGAAGACCTTGGAAGACTACAAAGAAGATAATTGGGAAGTATTCTCCAAAGAGATTATTTATGAATTTCATGATCAAGATATTACTTACAAGATTCACCATCAGAATTACCTTCAGGCAATTATAAAGAAACTGTGTGCTTGGGATGGCAACATTCACACCTATGTTCAAGAATACACTACTATTGCTAGTACAGTTCAAGCAAATGGAAGGCTTGATGAATTCACTAAGATGTCTTGGTTTCTTCAGAGGCTATCTGAGAAGCTCCAGAATAAGATTATTGACAAGGCCAAGCTCAATCTTTCAGACAATATGTTGCCTATTGATTTTAGGAAAGTTGTTCAGATGACCATGAATTTGATCAACCAGTATGAAGAGAATAAGAAGGTCTTTGAAGAAGATGAAATAAAACAAAAGAAAATGAAGAAGCTTGATGAGCAATATTAATTGGCTAACAAGCTCCCTACAGTTGAAGCTCCAAAGAAAACAGCTAGTTTTGTGAAGACTGAAGAATCCAAATCAAAAGCCAAAGCCAAGAGCTCTGACAGCACCAATATTAAAGCTGCTATTGAAAAGATGACCAACAAGTTCACAAATTTGGCATTGGCCATGAGAGTATAATCAAATCAGATACAAGGGAATTCTGATCAGTATTATATGCTGCAGAGAGAAGAATCTCCAAAACCTATACCAAATTATCCAACAAATGTGACTGTTAATCCTACAACTGTACAAGAGAATACTCAACTGCCAGTCAACCTCTATTTGGCTTGAAATGGCTCTCCTATAACAGGCTATAGTAGTGCTTGTGGACAAGGAGGAGCTCAAACTGGAGGAATTTTGACATGTCCCTCATGCTTCTACTGTGGAAAACCTGGACATCATCAATCTCAGTGTTATGAATACCAATCTGATATGAGTAATGGATACTGCCATATTAATGACAAAGAGAACTTACACATGAGCTCTAAGAGTCAAAACTATCAAGCTGTTACTTCTAAATCTGGAATCCCAAACATGTATATTGTGCAGTCTATGGGAGAGGATGAATGGGCAATTCCAGAGTCAACAAGCTCTAAAAAGAAGATTAATCAGCAAGAAGAGACACCTCCCACAAATTCAACCAGTGTGAAGGTTCAAGCAGGACAGCTTGCATACCTAATATCTGATAAAGAATCTGATTTGGATAAGAAATATGAACCATTGGAAGAAAGAACATCAGTTAATATTGGAACAGTTGGAGAAGCTAAGAACAATCAAAGAGCTAAGATTGCAATGCCCCATACTCAGTGTACTGGATAATTTATTACTTACCAGGATAATCAGACTAGTGTTGATGATGATGTCATGAAAGACATTGAACCAATTAATCAAAAGAAGCCTGAAATTCAGAACAAGTCTGTGGAGAAACAAAGACCAAGATATTCTGCAACAGATTGCTTATTCTCTCAGATCCATGATTCAACAGATGCCAATGAATTAATGGGTCAAATTCTCAATGGAAAAGTCAAATTGTCAGTCAAGAAGCTTATAGGTGTATCACCAAAGCTTCATCAAGCATTCTTCAGATCAGACTGGAATAACAGTACTAGCAAAAGCCATGCAAGAGTTGGAGTCTCTGAACTAGTTCAGCCTGAGCTAAAGATCAATTCTGGTCAACTTACTTCAAAGCCCATGGTGCCAAAATCCAAAACAGTATATGGAATGCATTTGTTATATGCACCAGTCACTATAAACCAACAAGAATTAATGGTGTTGATTGATACTGGTTCAGAAATCAATTTGTTGTCTCAGAAGTACACTGAAATGTTGAAATTGCCAATGGAAAATAAGCCACAAGTGACCATGGTTGTTCAAACAGGAGAAGTCACTCCTTTTTACACATTTTGTGACAAAGTGCCTGTTCAAATTGGAGATATTGTTACACATACCCCTTTCCTTATATTCAAGGAAGGG